CCAATGTCCCTCTGGATGGTAGAAGAACTCGAGGAAAATAATGTTTATTCCATGCAAGGAATGCATGGTTTAGGACAACCTATCTGACAAATACCTTAAAAGCAATAAAAGTAATAATAAGCTGCCCTAATTTCAGAGTAATATCTTCTAATTCACTGAGGGGAGAGAAAAGACTAAGACTAGAAGCAATCTTCCCATTTTAACTGCCACGGAGCTATTGCCTTAGTCCGGTTGAAAGGTAAGGAGCCTACTTCAACAAGGAAAAGCCCACAGGTGACGTTGTGCTCTTTCCTTTTCTCTCTCTTCGAGCTGCCTCTCTGTACAGACCACACAATATACATTACAGATCACACATGCAATACTGAACTAGTGTTCAGAACCAGATATCTAGCCACAAGCCTAGGTGAAATAGTTGCTAAATGATGTTCCTTTTTAAATGCTATACAAAAGTTATCTTAACATTTGGAAATACAGTGCAATATAGACCAATTTTTCTGATTTTTTTGTTTTCAGTAGAACACTGAAAATTATCCTTACTCTCTGTGAGACTGACATAAGTAGCACAGCCTACCTTCTTGAACAGCTATCTCATTGGGATCAGGTACACTTATTAAGTCTGTGATCTTTACTTGCATAATATCATCAATGATCTGTGGCATATATTCTGAGAACTTAGGTAGCTCCTCTATCACCAGATTTTTGTAATGAAATGGTGGGGTGGCCATCTCAAAAAGTTCATTATATGGAGCTTCTTTTGTCCCTATGGCTATTATCTTTACTCCAAGACTCTGCAAGTTTCTGGCAGCTTCTTGAACATCATCTTCTGAGGGTGCTGATGTCAAAAGCACAATGATTTGTTGCTTTTCTTTTCCACCTTCTGACTTTTGGAAAAAGGTTTCATAAGCCTTCATGAGAGCATTTCCAATTTGCACTGAACTCCCACCATTAAACATAAAGTTGTTGCTGATATGCTTCACCATAGGACCCTTTCTTCTGTAGGTGTCTAGCATAAATTCAGTGGAAAATTCATCACCGTACTGAGCAAGCACCAGCCGAAACTGGTTAGGCTCTATTGGGAGGCTGCCAATTATATGGATCATAAAATTTTTCACATAGGGGAGAGATGAATGTTCCATAGCATCAGAGCTGTCAACTAAGAGGACAATATCCGTAGGGACTGAAACACAGAAAATTTAGTTTGCTACATCACCTTTCTCTTCTGGAGCTATAACATAGTCAAAAATTGCAACTGTCAAGAAAAGAGACTTAGAAAGAAATTCTGCACCTCAGTTAAGCGTAATAGTGACCACACAGAAAAACAGATGCCTGCAGACTGGGAAACACCTCGTCAACCGCACCATGACAAAATTAACCAGATATTCCATCAAGTTGTAGTTTCACTTAGCAACCCAACAACGTACAAATGAAGGAGAGCTGGACTATGATATAACCTCTACCTTTCTGCTTTGCCTGCTTACACCTAAATCAGTCTTAGGTGGTCTCTTGTGCACACAAGGTCATTATATAGGTAAAATTTTCCAAGAATGGGAGAGTCCACTGTTCCATGAAAAACATGGAGGAAAGGGCTGGGAGGTAGATTGCCAGCATGAAAAATTCAGCAAAAAGGACCAGAGCAAACAATGTTTACACATGCCAAGGAGCCTTGAATGGGGGCAACTGGCAGCTACACTATCCTTGTGTATCTGTGGGCACGAGTTGCAAGGTGGGGTCATGGCAGGGACCAACCTCCTGCAGCCCACTTCCAAGCAAGGCCGCACTCTGGAAGATGGCCAGCCTCACTTCAGCTCACTCACTCCTCATCCCTTCATTCCCCTCAACATTTCCTTTCATACCTCACCTCACGCTTCAGCTCACACTTTAGCCCTCACTTCACACCATCAGTTCATACTTTGAATTTCATCTCACTCCCAAAATCTCAGCTCACACCTCACCGTTTAACTCACACTTCAAACCTCACTTTACCTCTCAGACCTTGCCTTACACCTCACTTGAAACTTCATCACACCTCAAGCCTTACCTCCCACCTCGTTACCTCATACACCACCTCTCACCTTACCTGCCACATCGTATCTTACACCTCAGACTTCACGTGTTGCCGTCCAAACTCAGCTTCAGCTACTGTGCACATTAGTTTCTTTAACCTCTCAAACTTCTGGTCATTATTTAGTGTAAAAAGGGCAAGCATTTTTCCCCCCCCATTAAGAATTGCATTTAAAAAAAAGAGATAATAAAATACCAGTGTTCTGGGAAACAGATGTGTGCATCTCAAAGAGGATGAAGAACAAAGCCAGCAGCATCTTCATCTCAAGGCAGAGTCCTCTGAGCATCCTCTCTGAGGGAGATAAAAAGATTGGCTACAGTCAGAAAGCTGAAGAAGCTGTTTTTTAACCATGCATGTTTATCAGTAAGAGTCAGCTCTATTGAGGTCCAGATTCATCCTGCTTTGAATTTTTTTTAAATTTGGGGGAAAGTGGAAAGAACTTAACTAGCCACCTGTTAATTAAATGGTAATTATTATTACAAAAAAGTGTCTTTTGAACAGCTATTAACCCTTAATTAATGGGCATGTTTGCGATTCCAGGAAGACTGGGTATCTCATATAGAAATACTACTATTTTGCATGAAAGGTTTTGATTTTTGATTTTTAAAGCAGTCCATGGTGAGAAGCTTTTAACACAGTATTGACAGATGATCCATCTTCCACTGATTTTAGTGGGAGTAAAATTGCACTCTGAGGCTTGATTTGTGTGAACTTATTTTAGCTGATATTCAGTATCCATCAGATGCTGAAAGTTTATGGAAATAAACTAACAGCCAGAGGAGTCATTGCTCTCCTGAATGTTGCTCTTTTGATAGCCAGTATGAAAGGGGGATGAAAAGTACCATTTAATGGTGAGCTTTTCTATTTGCCCTAGACTGAGTTTGAAGACCTGCAGGAGTAAACCTATGCCAGATAAAGGCTATTTCAGTGTGGGCCATGTAGGGCTTCCAGCTCCACATGGAAAATAGCACTTTAAATGTCTCTGTGAGTGATCAGTCAATCCTGACCCTCTCTATAAAAGTAAGCCCTCCATGTGCCAGTTCGGTTGCCAGCTGGCAGGCTTTTAAAAGCAAAAATAATTGTTAAGGTTTAAGAAACCCACAACAATTTACTGTCATTTAGACAGTATTCTATCACCCAATGATCCCTCCCTACTCAGGAAGGGGAATTGGGAAAAACAAGGAAAGCTGAGGGTTGAAATATAAACATATTTAATAGAATAAGACTAAATAATTAACATTAATAATACTAAAGAACCAATATTGATCCCAATACCAACATAAAATATACAATGATTATACTCAGCCAATTATATCAGGAGGAAGCTGTGCACTCCCACCAGTGGACAGCAAAAGTCAGACACTGCGAGTGCTATGGCTTCAGGAGGAAGGGAAGGGCTCAGGGGTCCAGCACCAGGGCAAAAAGTTCTCAGGATTACAGCCATCAAGGAAAAAAGAACTTCTCAGCAAACCTCCTAATTTATATTGAATGTGACATTCATGATATGAAGTAATCCTGTTGGCCAGCTTGGGTCAAGCACCTGGGTCCCACTCCTCCTCATCCCTGGCTAACTTGAAAACACTGAGAACTTGAAGCCTGCATACCACAGCTGGCTACGAAGTAAATATTTTTTACAAATTCAGACACCAGGGTATTGGAAAAGTACAGTTTTCCCAGGCATTAGAAGAGAAATTAGTCCTGTCCTGCTCAAACCAGGACACTAATTCACATAAATAAATCTCATCTTGTAAATATTCCCCCCAGTCTCAGGTTATGATCTACCCATTCCTGAAAACACCCTGCTTTATGGAAATACTACACCCACAGCTGCCTGCACTTGGAGCCTGAGCTGGTGCCAGCAGGTCTATAGGCTGGGTCTGGTTCTTAGGAAAACAGCTGACCTGTGAGGAAGAGTTGAGTAAGAAAGGTCCTGGAGAAGGCCTGCCTGGATCCTCTGCCCACTGTCTCCAGGGACAGGTTGGTCCCTCACCCTCAGTCCTTCCCTGTACTACGCTGCAGGCATGCAACAGGCCAGCACCTTCCTCACCCACACCCCAGCCCGGGACACAACTGCCCTTGGACTAGCCTCATCACCAGGGACTTGTGGCACTGCTCTAAGTAATTTGATACTTTCCCTTAAAAATTCCCCGAAAGCCACACTGCTTCCTTTTTCTGACAGCATTGATAAAACACAGTCTCTTGTAGAACAGTACAGGAAAGCTAGCTCTCAGTTACTGTCTTCTAAGCAGGAACACTCCAAAACCTTATGTGGACAAATCTCTAACATCAGTGGGAGCAGTCCTTGCCCAGTAGCAAAGGAAAATGGGCATCTGCAGGTGCCAAGTGCTGAAAGTTTTGGCAAGCGGCTCTGTAGGACATCTTTGCTGTCACTTTGGATAGCTGAAACGGCATAGTGTGTTTGTACAACTTGTTATTCTTGTATTTTACTGCTATTTCATATATATGGCAAAATTCCAGTGATTGTCCATCATCCTCCATAGACCTGCTCTTGATTTACAGTGTAAGTGAGAATATTGTTTGGCCCATGTTTGCTCTAAAAATGTTTTAGTATCAATGAAATCTGAAGTAATAGTTGAAATAATGAGTATAAACTGCTTGTTTTCATTTGTTTTCATTTTACCTGTCAAGTGATAAATATTCTATTTAATCAAAAATAATAAGCTTACTTATTAAATATCTGAATTAAAATTCTGATGTCAAGCATGGCAGAGCAAATGCAAGATTATTAGAAATACCTTCATATTTTTATCCCCTGTGATCCAAAGTAATAATCGAAGTACTCAATAAATGATGCCACTGTAAAACTTCAAAATATTTGTGTACAAATGGCTAACAAGTGTAATTAATTTAGGGATGTCTGCCCTTCTGTATGGACACAGAAATAGTGTTAATTCTACTGTTCTTTTAAAAGATTCTTGAAGGAGAAATTTCATATTACTGAGCAAAGATTTGATGTATAAAGCAAACTTGCATGACAAAAGGGAGGTTTGTTTCTTAAGGGTTACTCTTAAGAAAAGTAAGCACAGAGAAGGGTGAAAGTACACATGCTCTCAAGGTTTAGAAATCATGAGGTCAGACTGTATTTAAGGGTGCTGTTTTTCATATCTAACCTATTCTTTCATCCTTTATGCCATGCAGGCATACCTCTACAAAGGTAGAGAAGGAAAATAATTTCCTGTGTCTACAGATGACAGAATCCTTGCTGCAATAATACATTTATTTTGGGGATTATTATTTACTAAATATGTACATATATATTTACTAAATATGTATATAAAAACACACATATGTATGTATACGAATGATGAGGAAACAATCGGCATAATTTGAAAAGACAGCTGACTCCCCCTAGAAGGAGTGGGATAAAATGTTAGTCAGCCCTAAGTCACAGTGATAGGAGTAAGTGATTCTCTGCTTCTGCGCAGCCGAGCTGAAGTTCTCTTACTTTTACTGAGGGATTTGAGGGAGCTCTGGTGCTGCATTCAGGATTCTTCCCATAGCAGAGAGGAAGAGAAGCAAAAAGCACCATGCCTATGCTGCCCTGCACCTCTGCAGGGTTCAGGACTGCTGGCCAGGACTGGAGTGAGCAACTCCTCCAGAGGGGCAAAGAAGCTGGGGAATGCTCTCTCCTTCTGGAAGATCTTAGCAAGTAAGTAGGTAGCTGTTTAAAAACCCCTACTAACCAGAGGCCAAATCTTTGTGAAGACCTGTTAGCCACAGGAGAGCACAAGTTCCTAAGAGGCATGTTCAAGAGGAACACCACCAGTAAAACACAGCCTATATAACCTATTTCTGCACTTCCAGTGACCTCAGAAGTGGTATTTTTTCCAGATTCTCCCTATATAAAAGAGCAGGACTTCAAAGTCTAAGCTTCATTGTTCATTGCTTCATTTATATTTGTTCTTCTGTATTTTTTTCAGTCAGGTGTCCTGGAAAGTGATACCCACTACTCAATTCCATGCATTGTCATTACACAGAGTATTCCTTGTTTCTCCCATTCACAAAACTATTTTTTTTCTATTTATCAAATCCAATTGAATTAGCTTTCGGTTACATTTTAAAAATTTAAATTTTCAAGAAAAGGATCACCCAGCATTGTCCTCATGGCTAGGCTATTACAGCAAACATGAATAATACCAGTGGATATCATTCACCTCCTATAATAACACTGCCATTATTAAGTGCTGGAGGTCTGTGAGATTTTATCACCATTCACACGTTAACTACCTCAGCGTGTATAACAGATATAATCTTAAAGACTTCATTTACTTTCCTTAAGTCATCACCCTTTGAAAATCCTGAGTGCATCGTGTTAGTCTCTGTGTGTATATGTTCACAATTAAACACGAATATATATGCATAGTACAGATGGAGAAAAAGAGGAAAAAAAATAACAAACCTAAACTAAAACAAGTCCAATAGCTTTTAGGGAAAATCAGTAGGAATTTCAGAAACTCAACCCAAAGCTTTTTCAGAGTCATAAATGAATACAAAGAGACAAATTTCTTAAAAGGAGATTTTTTTTGTTACTGCTGGTTTTTTAAAGAAAATCTTTTCCAATGAGCAGAACAGACACTTTGTAACACTTACCAGACAAAGGGGAAGGTGTCTGCGTGGAACATTTCAGACCATCAGCGTCCACAAAAGGCTTATGGAGACTGATAGCCTTTTATAGTGTTTCAGTTAATTGGCCATAGGAAATCTTCCCACAATGGTATTTAATAAATACTTTCTGGTGGTTTGGAAGCTTGTAAAAAAAGTATGTATTTGTTTCCTTTTCCCCTCTTCACCTCCCACCCCTTTTTCCCTAGAACAAGTGCTATCACATTCTTGGACTGCACTTTCATTGCTTCACTTCTCAAAATTCAACACATCCATCCTACCACAGTAACTTCTTGGAATTCAAAAAATAGATTCAGTGCATAGATGATGAAAAGTTAGCCAAAAGCTGGAGTTGCTCTGTGTGTATGTAACATACACAAACCTGTTGATTTTAAGCCTAAAATTAGGTGCTGTAAGAAGAAAATCTATATAAAGCCTATCTGTAGCCAGCATTTGTAGGCAATCAAAATTTCTTTAATGCAATTTGTTGTTCTCACATTTATCTCCACATCAGGTTGCTAGTGGATGATATTGTGGGACATAGGAATTTTTTTTAAGATAATCCCACAGAGTGATGGATCTAACAGCATTACCTACTTATTTTTCTCCGTTTATTTCAAAGATAATTTCACCATTATAAGAATTTGATGTTAAATTAAAGCCTTGATTTAGCAAAATCCTGAAATGCATTCCAGATCCAGGGGCAGCCAGGGTAGAAGTAAACAAAGTGATGTACATCTGTTAACAGACTGACCTGCAGAGTTGTTGGAGAGGAGCATTGCTATGGGGCTGCCAAGAAACTTGCTACAGAAGTTCAGAGACTGACTGGACGCCTCCTTCTCTCTTCTTTCGTTTCATGGGTGAGTGTAAGTCCCAAGATCAGAGCACATATCACATAGAAAAGGGCGCAAAGGTCAGCCTGGAAAGATAAAACAGACAGTGGACATTGACCTTGCACAAAGCAGAGGCGACACCAATAACCAGAAGGTGGCATCTGGATGAATTTCCATCTGCAGAGAAACATCCTTTGATTAAAGACGCCAGAGTGGTGTTAGTCTGTCCATTCAGCTTCTCAGTTCACAAAAAACTTCTGGATTTGTCATCGATGGCAGCCTGATACAACATTAGCACTATCTCCAGGGGAGTGCCCTCACCTGACAGACCTGACAAAGATCTGGAGTGTCACAATATCCAAGCATGAAATTATCAGCCTTTACAAAAATCTGTTACAGACTGCTACCAGGCTTCCACAGTAACACAGGCTTTGCTCGGAGATTTAGCCTAGCTGAGGGGAAGAGGAGAGACAGGGAAGAATGGCTGATGACCGCCATAACATACTCTGTCTCCAGAATTGCAGTTTTATGTGAGGCTATAAAAAGGGCACAGAAAATCTCTGGTCTAGAAATAGCAAGATCTGCTAGATCTATTCTTTCAGTTTTTAGTAATGAGGTCAATGAGGTCAAGCCTACTGCTAATCCTTTTGGTATTACACTCTGAAGTTTTTCCAAGAAGAGTGAATCAGTGCTTTAATGCAGAACAAATGTGTTCTTAAATGTCCTTTTGGAGATACCTATTACTAGTTTGTTCTTATTTCTTCCCCTCTTTTCCTCAATGGCAAAACACTTGGTGTAACACTGGTTTGTTGTGCTGGGTTATCAGGTTTATTGGCATATGGTTATGAAAATGGAATCGGCCTCAGTGCAAGTTAAATGCTCTTTACTTATGCCACTGTCACCACACAGCCAGTAACTCAGCACATTTCTGACAGATTCTTGCTGCCTTAAGGGAAAGCTAAGGTTTGCCATGGTGCTAGTGGCATTCCCTCAACAATTACAGAGTGCAATGGCTGTACCACTGCAGTCACAAATGCTTTGTTTTGCCCACCAACAAAATAGAGAAAGAGATCGGTTTCTGTGTCTCTCTTCCACTCCAGGGAAGCGTCTCACCCTGCAGATCTGCCAGCTAAACTTCTTACATGAGAGCTCCCAGATCCTATCAGGTAAAATGTTCAGGTTTAACCCTGAGACTTGCAAAACTTTGGGTTTTTTTTCCCCAGATCAGAATTATTTTGTCAGAAGTGGGTTACGGAGCCTTAACACCAGCAGCTACATCAGCAGATCTGAGAAGGTGAAAAGACAGCAAAGGAGAGGCAGTGACCTTCCAGTTAGTACTGCTACCCACAGTTGTGCAAAGGGCAGGTGCTCAGCAATGCAAATGTTAAGGTACCTCAGGCACTATGCAACAATTTTTTCATAGTAAAGGAAGCTTTACAGTTGCCATTGCAAAGGTGGAAGGAGGCAGTGGGACTGGTCCAGGGCACCCACAGCCCTTTCCCTGGAAAACAATGCTATTAAGTACAGAGGTGAATCACAGGGAAATCTGCCTTTGCAGAGTTCTCCGTAGGGAGTCACTCATGTGAGTCACATCCCTGCACTGAACTCTCCGAGTTTGCCTTGTCATGCATCAGTAAAGCATAATGTGTCCAGCTGTCCCCTGCTCAGAGTTACAGGAAACCCTGCTCTAAGTTGTTGCTTTTGGCAAGATAGGCAGAGCACCTCTCGAGCGAAGAGGGTGAAAGTAATGTAAATGTTTTGCTGGTTATAATTCTAAGTTTTTACTTAACAGTGACAGTGGCCAGGTGCCAGAACATGCAATCCCTTCTGTAAGCATGTTTTCCATCTGGATGCCCTCATGCAACCTGACAGCAGGCAGCAGAGTGATTCTGGAAGAACCAAGAGAAGGGCTGCCTAGGAAAGCTGATGTTCAGAGCTTACAAATATTTGTATGTGTATTATATCTATATATATGACCTGTTAAACAGCAAGGGTGAATGGTTGTGTTGCACATCCTACTTAGCACAACAGAGTAACTTAGTATTTTTGAAAGCAAATGCAGCTCCCTCTGAGCCCTCCGTTTGCTTTAGAGGTCTGAGCAGTTCATTTCAAGCAGCCTTTGGATGACAGTACCTTTTTCAGCCATGATTCCATGTACTTGCATGTTACGAGAGAATTTCACCTGAATGTCCCAAAATGACCCATGAGGCTATTTTGCTCTGTGGGGTTAGTCATTATGTAAAACATATTAGTTTAAGCCTCAGTGAAAGAGGTAGCAACAGGAATAGCTAATGGGGTAAGGGACTGGAAAAACAAGACACAAGAAGGGAAAATATTGAGCCCTTGTGGTAGAGAGAAAAGGACTTCCTGACTGCCACACACTGGTAAAGGCTTTGGGTCCAATTAACTGCACAAAGCCCTACTAATGGTTTTGTGTCATTTTTTGTGCAAAAATTTCTAATCACAATAGCTGGTTTGCTCTCATGGCAAATTGTTTCAGCCTGCCTCAACAAGCCAGAAACTGCTATGTATTTTGGCAGTTAGAGTTCCCTCAAAAGCAGTATCTACACAGTCACAGAACCACAGTATCATGGCATGGCTGAGGCTGAAAGGGACTTCCAGAGGTCATCTGGTCCAACCCACCTGCTTAAGTAGGGCCACCTGGAGCCAGTTGCCCAGGACCATGTCCAGATGATTTTTAAATATCTCTCTGGGCAACCTGTACCAGTACTCTGTCACCCTCACAGAAAAAAAAGTGTTTCCTGATGTTCAGAGGGAACCTTTTGTGTTTCATATGGTGCCCGTTGCCTCTTGTCCTCTCGCTGGGCACCTCTGAAAAGAGCTTGGCTCTGTCTTCTTTGCACTCTCCCTTTAGGTGCTTCTATATGTATTGATAAGATCCACCCCTGAACCTTCTCTTCTCCAGGCTAAACAGTCCCACTTCTCTCAACATTTTCTTATATGTGAGGTGCTCCAGTCCCTTCATCGTCCTTGTGGCCCTTTGCTGGTCTCTCTCCAGTATCTCCATGTTGCTCTTGTACTGAAGAGCCCAGAACTGGACACAGCACTCCAGCCTCACCAGCGCTGACTAGAAGGGAAAGATCACCCCCCTCCATCTGCTGGTAATACTTTAATAATGGAGCCCAGGATACAATTAGCCTTTGCACCAAGGGCACATTGCTGGCTCATGTTCAACTCTGTGTCCACCAGGACTCCCAGGTCTTTTTCTGCAAAGCTGTTTTCCAACTGGGGGGGGGGGCCCAGCATATATTGATGCAGGGGTATATGTATTGATAAGATCCACCCCTGAACCTTCTCTTCTCCAGGCTAAACAGTCCCACTTCTCTCAACATTTTCTTATATGTGAGGTGCTCCAGTCCCTTCATCGTCCTTGTGGCCCTTTGCTGGTCTCTCTCCAGTATCTCCATGTTGCTCTTGTACTGAAGAGCCCAGAACTGGACACAGCACTCCAGCCTCACCAGCGCTGACTAGAAGGGAAAGATCACCCCCCTCCATCTGCTGGTAATACTTTAATAATGGAGCCCAGGATACAATTAGCCTTTGCACCAAGGGCACATTGCTGGCTCATGTTCAACTCTGTGTCCACCAGGACTCCCAGGTCTTTTTCTGCAAAGCTGTTTTCCAACTGGGGGGGGGGGCCCAGCATATATTGATGCAGGGGGTTGTTACTCACCAGAAGTAAGACTTTGCACTTCCCTTTGTTAATCTAACATTGAACGAAAAATGAGGAAGGAGTTGTTCTTGATGTCGTATTTCTTGTTGAATTTCATGAGGTTCCTGTCAGCTCTTTCTCTAACCTGTCCAGGTCTCTCTGGATGGCAGCAAGACCCTCTGGCATATCGGCCATTTCTTCCAGTTTTCTGCCATCTGCAGACTTGCTGAGGGCACACTCTGCCCCATCATCTACATCATTGATGTTAAGGAAGATGTTAAACTGGACTGGACCCAGTATTGACCCCTGTGGTACATTGCTAGTCACTGGCCCCCAACTAGTCTGCACCACTGATTGCCATCCTCTGGGCCCAGCCATTCAGCCAGTTTTCAATCCACCTCATTGCTCATCCAGCCTACACATCAATAGCTTGCCTATGAGAATCTTATGGGAGACAGTGTCAAAGGCCTTACTGAAGTCCAGGTAGGCAATACCCACTGCTCTCTCCTCATCTATCAGGCTAGTCACTTCATCGTAGTAGCTTGTTCAGTTGGTCAGGCATGACTTCCACCTTAGTTAATCCACGCGGATTACTCTTGAAGATTTTCTTGTCCCTTCATGTGCCTGCAATAGTTTCTAGGATTAGCTGCTCTGTCACCTTCCCAGGGATCAAGGTGAGGCTGACTGGCTTGTAGTTCCCTGGGTCCTCCTTCTTGCCCTTCTGGAAGTCAGGAATGACATCTACTTTCCCCCAGTCTTTAGTACTTCTCCCAATCAGAATGATTGATCAAAGATTATGAAAAGTGTCTGGCCTTGCAATTAAATCTCTCCGCTGCCTCACAGGTGCATCCCATCAGAGCCCATAGACTTATCTCCTGTTTGCTTAAGCATTCCCTGACCTGATCCTCTTCCACCAAGAGTAGTTTCCCTGTGGTCTCCAGGATCTAGGATTCCTGAAGGCCTGCCACATATTGGGAAACAGCACCTGGCCACTACTAGCAACCCTGCAAACTCGAGGGCTCTATTGGTCAATGAAAAGAGCAGTCAATCCCAATCAAATTCTGCACATGCATTACATTTTGCCAAGATGCGATAGCGTTCACCTCATGTCTCAAGAAAGAACATAAGACTTGCATTCCATTCACACTGGGTTCAAATTATGGCCAGGACACATACCAGTTTTGTTACAAAAGATACAATTTAACCCTTACATGTTTCAGATGAGCTGGGATCCTTTCTTATTAGAAAAGCTGGTCAATTTAGCTGTCAGATATGAGGCCAAATACTGCAATAGGAGCTAGAAAATAAAAAACAAAACCAGAAAGCCAGATGTTTTCCCTCAAATGTGCTTCAGATATTTTAGAACACAATCTGGTCCCATTAAATTAATTCACATATATATCATTAGGTCTAATTAACAAAAGACACAATCTGAAACCTTTTACAAATTAGTACTAGATTAGGAGCATTTTCACATCATTATAACCCTTATAACCAAAAAATAACCAAATAAGCAAGGGCATTAAACTTACTCACTTTCATTCAGCAGAACTCACAGGCAGTGTTTTGGTCCCAGGGACATCTGTTCTCTGTTGATCACCTTCCTTTTCAGAGGATTGGGCCTCAGAATTCAGGTACTCTGCATTACAAAACTTAGAACATGTGCATTTGGGTTGACATATGACAGTAGCAGCATAAAGTTTAGTAGATCTACCTTCTTGCACTTTTTAAACTACAGACTATATTTACTACGGCCCTCACCAGCATAAACATCACACACAGGTTTACTGTGGCAAAACTAAATTGCTCCCTGAACAGATTTACAAGTGCATGGCTTGACTGCCTAAATACACTCTCTGACAACATCCATAAAGATGCCACTTCCTTGCTACTTCTGAGAGGTTCACGTTTCTTTTGTAGTTTGGGAGGAATCTGGGATTGAGCAGGGAGAGTTTGCTCTTAATTCCCTCAACTGAGCAGCAGGTACATCTTCAGAAGACTGCTTTCATTAGCAGAGAGAATGTTATCTCTTGGCAGACAGTCATATCCCAACACAAATAGTTGTACCCCAGTTTCCAATGTGTTAATGGATAGCTACTCCTATATTAATTAATTGGTCTTTAAAAAGCAGGGTTTACTAACATTGGCACAAAGGCCTTGAGCTAGGGTGTTTAAACTGCCTTCAAACTAGAGCCAGCTGCAGGAGAAGGCACATAGCACAAGCTATGTAAGCACCTGGGGGACAGGGCAGGAGGAAGGGCATGCCCTGGCCCAAGGAGATCACTACATGCTATACCAAGGAGTAGAGATCCTTTTACAGTTCCACCATCTATTTACACCAGTGTCACTCAAAAGAATGGCATGGCTTCAATAATAGTAGATCCTAGGTACTCCACTACCTAGAGCACTAAAAGTACAGTATGAACTCAGATTTCTCATGAAAGTCTGTTAAGTTCCTAGAAGCAGCAACACCAGAATATTTCACTGGCATCAGAACTTAATATATCACAAAAATATATTTTACCACCTACTGAACGCTGATGTTGCACAATTCAGCAAAATGCAGCAGTCACAGAAGTCTGGTCAGTTGCCCACAAAATAATTCTTTTCATGTTTACACATGAAAAGCCACAACATGAGAATATGCTTACATCTGTTTGAAGAACTAACAGCAGAAGTGAAATATTTAAGAATGATTGATTTTATTCATGTTATATTATTCAGAAAAAAATTTAAAAGCCCAGAATGACTCCACAGTAGAAAATCCTCTAAATCAAAGTGAAGTAAGTTCTAGTAAGCCTGTCCTTTGACAGCTCAATGCTTTTTGGTATTTTCTATAAGCAAGATAAATGCAAGCAAACGCATCAAATCATTTTGACATTAATGAAATAACATTGGATGTGAGAGACTAAAGTCTCTGACGTACTATTTTATCCAGTACATTTCAAAAGTGCACATTTTGGTGTTTATGGAACAAAGTCAAGTTTTAATACTTCTATCCCTTTTAAACAATACACTGTTAGCTAACAAAAGTTTCTCATTATGCAACGTGTCATATCAGATCAACTGTGATGTATTTTTAATTTTATTTCCCCTATTAAGCTACTAGATAATAACTTCACAAACAAGTATTTCTTTCAACTGAAATGTGGGACCAAAGTGGCTATGTAAAGATTTCTCTTTCAATCCCTTTTCCCTATCACCCTGATAGTGTAACTGAAGAACTAGTGTAATTAAGAGTCCCTGCATTAGGAAGACTCTATACACAAGAATCCACATTCTTCTTGTGTTTCAAATCTGTTTTTATTGTCTCCACAGCCCCCATACCAGAACCAACCACACATTTTCTGCTCTTTGTTGTAGTACCACTTCAGAACATAACTCTGACATTCTCCACTATCTTGAACAAGGTTGCACGCATCTGGAAAAGGCAAATAAGGACAGATTTAATAAAAGAAAGATTTACTCTTCTCAGCATTGTAATTTCAGGGAAAAGTAACGTTCAGCACAAACTGGCAGATGAAAGACTGGGACTGGGCATCAGTACAATGTCCCTGAGCCACAGCAAATACTTTATTTGTAAAGTATAAACAGTAATGTGTGCTACTTAATTTTCTGTGTTACCACAGAGTTCATGAATTGGTTAATGGAAGCACTGATTCAAGATTTTACACATGCAGTTACGTGACAGGACACATTCCATCTGTGCTCAGCAAGCCTGTCATGCACTGTGGATGTACAGCATTCCCAGAGGTACATTAGCTCTTCATTAAAGATCCAACATTAGAACAGCTTTGTAAAAGCATTGGCCCTCTCTCGTCAGGAGTGGGGTTACCGGACGTTCCCAGAACTATTTTTGAGTGGAGAGAGATGAAGGAGAAAGGGATGTCATAGCAATGAGCTACCACACCCAAAGCTATGCAGACACTTTTTTTTTCCACAGAAATTCTCTCCAGTTGTAGTTTAAACAATAAAACCGCTCAATAGTGTTATATGAACATTTGCGACCAATTATCTCACTATCAGCATCCCACACCTATTGTATCAAATAGCAAATCTGCAAAGAAAAAGGCATAATTAGGAAGTAAAAACTATGAAGAATATGTATTTTGATAGGATACCTCTACTGAGGGATCCTGCTCTTCCTACAGGAACAGACTGTAGATATATTTAGTTCCTTCATGTTGAGTTAAGTTAGCAGCAGGAATAACTCAGTAACTATAGTAAAACTTGGGGATTTAAAATGATCAGCTGTTTTAGTGAAGAGGATTAGAACTTTATATTATATTATTACAAAAAGTTACAAATCAAAGATAAGATCGTAATGACACTTGCAATTAAGCCTTTAATTACAAACTCTGCTGTGTAGATTTAGACTGAATATAAACATATGGTAACAAAACACTTTATAAAACAATCAATGGAAATGCCTCATACTGCATAAATGTTCAACCGACCCCTCCACAATTTAGAGTCTTTTTACTGAATTAAAAAATATTTTCATATTCTAAAGTCATACCATAATCACTACAGGAAGCTCTAGTTTCTACTGTTGCCTCTAAATTTTCCTCATTCTCCTGAGCTTCTCCATAGTCTTGTGGCTTTTCTCCTTCAGCATCTTCCTCTGTGAAACACTTGTTCTCCTCATAATCATATCTCATTTCTGGCATTGTGTATACAGGTTCTGTGGCTGTCTCTCTAATATCCCCCAAGACTCTACCTTCAGTTCTTTCAATGTCTTCTAAACCATAACCAGTTTCATCAGTTCCAGGAAAAGGCATCCTTCCAAGGAGAGGAAAAAGAAAACAAATTAAGTATTCAAGCACCTGTATGGCTTTGAAAAAAATGAATCTGGTTCATTCCTTCTGAATACCATGAAAAAAAATTTTTATCCTGGTCCTGTTTCTGTTAAAGCTATTTTGAATACAACTGATAAGCGAAAGGAATTAATCTCGTGTTGAGATACACACTCAAAAAGTTTAATAGGCAATTCCAAACCTTTCAATCACAGACACTTGCTGTTGTGCATCTCCCTGATCTAAGTTTTCACACTCTTCTTGAAGTTCAGGTGAAGGATAACCGTTCATGTCTTCTGTGGGGAAAGCACAGATACCACAGGTGTTAAAGTTCTCCTAATTCCAGTATGTTTAATAAAAAGCACTATATGATTTTTTTGTTGTGAACTGGAGTTTGCATTTTTCAATAAGTAACACACCATGTCTAGAGCAACTGGCACTATGTCCAGGACAAAGAAAATTATGTTAGAGATCAGCTAGATTAGAATGACTCCTCAACCAACCTTTTATACTTTTGTCTTGCTCTGTAATACACTATTTACGCAGGAGAGGAGGAGTAACTGCAGCAGAGAGATCTTAATGCCAAATCTGCTATAATGTTTAAACTTGTATCTGCCCCAAAGCCTAAATAGGCATGAACAGCTCAGTAAATCTGGACCTGCCAACGGTCAGAGGAGAAACGCAGGCCTAAATCAGGAACATAACTCTGTTCTCTTAGCTAAAGAATGGTCTTTCTTTAGTGAAAGTGGAGTCAACAAAGCCACACATTATATACAAACTTAAGGGGAAAAAAATCCACTTAAGACTTTGGCCCAAGGCACCATTAAAATATAATGCTGTTCGGTCATTACTGGCACTTCCATTAGTGTCCAGCATCGGTGGTAAACTAAAGATGAAAGACTGACTAGCTAAATTATGACTAGAAGCTGAATGATAGTGCAAATACCCTGGCTACCTTTTGCTATACAGCATTTCTCTTTCTTTCCATAACTTAAGCAAAAGCCACTGTGCACTACTTACGTTGTAGAAGATGTAGAAAAGCCCGGCTAAACCTCTGCGCGTACACCATCTCAGACGCTGAAACCCTGCTCAACGCCAGTAAGTGCTGGTCTGTGGGGGAGCTTGCCAGCTCCATCAGCTCATTGTCACTCACATCACTGCCAAGTGCAAGAGTGAACAAGGTGAACCCTTGACACTTGGCTCCAAGTGAAATCTCTCTCAGTTTCTCTCTGTCCCACATGCTTGTTTTGCTTCCAACTATTGCAAATATGACCCTGTGTTTTCTTTGTCTGGGGGCTTTAAAAAATACATTTTCAACCGTCCACTGCAGGGCAGAAGCAATGGCTGACGGCCCTTCCAGTTGGCGAACAGACTCTTGGATATGTTTCTTCATCAAATCTTTATTGCTGTATGTGACTAGATCAAACTCCAAGGCCACAGGGGTCTGGTTTCTGCCAGGCAGGAGGCCCCTGGGAGCCTGCTGCACCAGTGCCACTCTGATGCCTCCATATGATTCGTTTGGCTGTGAGGAAACGACAAACTGATCTATCATGTTGCTCACAAAGTCTTTGGCTCTCTGAAACTCTTCACTGCTGATGCTTCGAGAGCTGTCCATGATGTAAGTGATATCCATGTCCATCAGAACAGGGGGAGAAGAGGGCACCTTGCAGTTGGTATTTGGTTTGCATTTATCTAGAGAGGAGGAGCCAATAAGCAGCAAACTATTTAGCAATACAACCAAAGCAATAGTTCAGAAAAAAAAAAAGAAAATCCCACAATTCTATTTATCTGTATATTTTTTTTAAGGTTTTTTTTTTTTAAAACAATAATCAGTTTGCAATTTAAGGTTGTTTTTTTTTTAAAACAATAATCAGTTTGCAACTTGAAATCCTGTTGTTCTAGTAAGGAACAACAGGTGAGTCTTGCTGAACAAGGTTTTAAGATATCATGGGAAATTATTCAGGCATAAGAGCAAAAAAATCCTCTTAAGATAAAACTTAATATGTAAGAGTTCCCTTGAGAAATTTTCTTCTGTGAAAATCTAAATATTGTAAAGGAAACTGAAACCAACTCTATTTTTTCATCTCAGACCACTGTTCAGCATTCTGAAATATTATAATTTAGTACCTTTTCCTCCCCTCACAATGTAGAATTTACAGTAAATGAACCTGGTTCCCACAATGTTATTTCAAGTGCATTTCTGTTAAAAAGGAAATGCCAAACAATAATTAATTTCACTTGGCTACGACAACAACTAATTAAATAGCTTTTGTGGTTTTGAGATTCTAATTCTTATCATCCTTTGGATTAAATTCAAATTGTAACTTCTCAGCAATGATAATCTGTAACCAAGGAATGATCTGGCATGGAGGACAAGACAGCCCAGTTGCAAAAGGGATTAAACTGGCTGGAAGCAGAAATGCCAGAGACAGAACAAGTCCCTGTAAGGGGGTGAAGTTTCTCCTGGTGATGACAAGAAACAGTCACAGCATTGTCTTATAGCTATCCTGGAATACGAGCGCTTGGGAGCCACCTTTGGGCAGCAGGGCTGGGCTGAGTCACCCCATACAATCACTTATAGGATTGGGGCTGGTATAAGTGCATATAAGGAACCAGCTCTTAACACATCTTTGCAGAATCCTTGTAGAACCACTTATGGCAGTAGGACTCCACCCAATGCACTGTTCATTAATTTTTAAATTTTTTTTAATACTTAAGCACAAACGTGTTTATAGGGTACCATAAAAATTCCCCAACACCACACTGCAAAATAAAATCTATAGAATTTTTTACTGAAAGGGCAAAAAGACCAATATAACACCTGGAATTTGCAAAATGTCTTACCAAAGCAAAGTGTACAATCTGTGATGCTCTTCAGACTTTCATCCTGTTGTCTTTCCCAAACAAATAATTGAAATCTAGTATCATCAACCTATGTTTTAAAGCAGACACAAAAGTAACATTAAAAAAATATATACAAAATACAGAGGTATACACAACACAATTAATTTCTGATTAATGTCTGTAAAGGATGATACAGATAGGTCTCTTCAGAGGAATTAGAATTAGCAATGGCTGTTTAAGTGATCTTCAAACTGAGGCTCCTAAACCAAACTAACCAAAGCCAGCAAGTATCTGTGGCTACAGGCTGGTAGGATCGTGAAGACCAAACCACCTGTCAACTGCAAAGGCACAAGTCCATCTAAAATAAAAAGGGAGGTTGTATTTTCCTGTGTGGTGGTGGTGAAGTTGGTTGCCTCCCCATCACTGTAATCATAAAGGAGACCTGGGCAGTGAGTTTTTTGCCTTTCCCCCTGCTAAGCAGCTTTTTTAAACCTTTCTACTCTGAAAACTGATTTAGGGAAAGTTGGCACCTACATAAATACCAGATGTCATCATATGCAACTGACCAAGAGATACGAGGCTGTATGAAAGTAAATGTAATATGAAGATTAAAGGGCTGACTTAGATGGTACTAGATCAGAACTTGGACTCCAAGTTTTGCACTTTTTGTCACAGGTAAGTAAACATAATTTCCTTCTATAAGGATAATTTTGAAGAAACAGCAGCTGGAAGGAATTTTATTTTGAAAAAGTTAAAACTGAGCACAGATGATACAAAAATAAATTGAAAAGAGAGAGAATATGGAATCATATTATGAAATCCTAAAGAAACTTAAAATTGTTTTGTTTTGGTAATTGTTTTCTTTTGGTACCTGGTAAAATGAATTGCTTACTTTTGTTTACTACCTTTTTACATGAAGTAATATTTTAAAGCAGAAGTTGTTAATTTTCTCCTGTAGTAATGGCAATACGACTATCAAAAGGTAAGCAAATGGATGACTGACCCAATTTTTTATAGTCTATCTACTTACCAAGAAGGCACGTCTGACATTTGGCACTTCGCTGAAGGCAATAACCACTGGAGTGATATCCAAAGCACTCAACTCAAGCACAGCTGTGTTGATGGAAACACCATCCTGTGACAGACCATTGGCAAAAAAAAGGGCAACTTTTCTTGTGAGGATGCCCTGACGAACACGCTTGAAGACATTCCTTGAAACAAATCTCATGGCTGCCCCAATATTACGTTTTCCAGTGGATCTCCCTAGTGGTATTCTCTGGACCGCTTGCAGCAGCAAGTCACTTTTTTGGAATTCTGAGAATCGGATGAGATAGCGTGTATTCGTATTGAAAGAAACAACGGAGACACGAGCACCTGTTGGGCAATTGCTTTCACTGATCTTAATGGTCTTCAGCAATGACGTAACGATGTTCCTCATTCTTTCAAATGCGGTTGGTGTAACATCCGCAGACATATCGAAGGCAAACACCACTTCAGTTGGATAAACTGGACATGTGTCTGTATATTGAAATTAAACAAGTGCGTGAGAACCTTTCCACAGCTCAAACCTTGTTAGTTTTTCATTCAAGTCTATAAAAGAATGGACATGCAGAGGGGCTTACCTGATGAGCAAGCTAGAATGAAGAAGTGGAGAGCAAATAAATTATTTTGGACTCGTATTCCTTAAAATATTGACATATTTTTCTTTCACTACAGAGCCTGATTCAAAGCTCAGACAACTAACAGAATCTGTCCATGAAAGACAACACTCCTCTTTCCACAATCAAATACTTAAAATAATGCAATTTTACTGGGTGAGAACTAAAAAAATTGTTGTGGGTTCTGCTGAGTGTACAAGTCTGAGAGAGAATGAACACTCCAAATCTGGAGGACAGGTCATATACAAATATTGTCTTCCCTCAGATAATTCCCCAAAGACAGTTGGCAAAATGCCAAACAATTAATTTAATCTTAAATGAGGGCAAGAGACATTTGTTACAGTTTCTGTAATTCAGATAAAGGAAAATTGAGCAAAAAGCTTGAGCCTGTTTCATACAGTTAACAGCTACCAGTCATCATCAAACTGAACCCATATACAACCAACCAGCCTACAGGGTTTCCAGTGGAGGCTATTCCATTTAAGAAGGGTGACTAGATAGAATCAGAGGTAAAAGAAGATGCTCCCTACTTACGGCAGTTTTTTCGTGTAAAATTTACAAGTTCACAAGGCTGGAGAAGCAAAACAAAATCCAATTAATGGCAAATCCCAGATCATCCCAGAGTAGGAATATTACTATTGGTTTGAGTTGAAAGCCATATCCCAGCTCCTGAACTAACTCTAATGTGAATCCAGAATCACACATTCCAGTTTCTCTGTATTTCAAATAGTACAGGGGCTCTGCCCCTGCTGCAGAAACTAAGGGCTTTTTTAAGACGTGCTTTGTTGGCATTTAATTATGCTCTGGAGTATTAAGCAACCATTTATCCATTCTTTATTTTGTGTAATAATTTGATCTAGGAGGTCACCAGGCAATGGCACTTCCATAGTGGAACAGCCATTTCAATAGCAACTCACATAGGAAGCATAAGGTCCACAAAGGAGGAGAGGACCCCTTTTGGACATAGAACACATCTGCAACAGTATTGCCAGCAGGTAGTTGTCCATGCAAGGGATAGATGAAACCTTTACTCAGAAGTGTTCATTTTACATGGGATTAGGATTCTGAAGAAATCCTGCCCTACTATCCCTAGTGAAAACAGCTGTTTGCTGAGGAAACACCTTCCTTTACAAGAGGGTGAAAAGCAACCCTAAACCTGAGCTGGTGCGTAAACTGATGTGAATGAAGAAACAAATCAAGGAATATTAACGCCTCAACCGTTTGTAAAAGTTTGGACACAGCATTAATCCATATGCACAACTGTTTCTCAGTCCTTGGTTATTTGCAGAACAGAAGCACCCACTGCACTCTGATGAGTATTTGAAAAGGGTATGGTTTCTAACAGCTAATTGTGCTCATTGCAGTCATTGCATATAAATGGAAGAAGACTAAAACTGTTAGTTCCATGCACTGTGCAGTTAGCTGTAAGGTATTTACTTACTTCCATTAAAATGGTGCCCATTGGTCCCTTGGCACCCTGAAACAAATTAAACACAGGTCCAGAAAATCAGACCCTGATGATGTATTTCCATCTATGACTCTGTAGCCCAAAGAAAATGTAGGCATACAGTGTTTCCCTGACAACCATTTTTGAATTTGAAATATTAGGAGACCTCAGTTCCCAGCACAGATTTCTGTGGACCTGTTCCAGAGTTGCAGACCTATTTCTCAGTTCATTTTCTTTTCTGGTTTTATAAATGTTCAGTAATTGTTGCCCTTAAGGACCAGTATAATTCAGAATTGGACTTCCTTTCTAAACAGCAATTTCTGTGCTGTGACTCAGTTATCTGTACCTTACATCCTTTTAAACCTCAGATGTGTGATAGGCCTGCCCTTTACGTTTGTGGCGTACGATCCCCACAGTTCTACCCTGAGACATCCTGCAAGACCATACACACATCATGACTGCTCGTCTAGCTAGCTTTGGCTACTCTGCAGCCTTCTCATTGGGAGCTGTGGGCACACACCAGGATCCCAATCAAGTTTTTTTTTAAAAAAAATACTGTTTAATCTTCATGACAGGAATAAAATACAGGAAAAAGAACTTTTTTTTTTCAAGGCAGCTTGAAAATTTTCATCATGTGCTCAATTCAGATTTTCACTTACTTGCAGGGGGGCGGCAGCGAGATACACCAGAAAAATCTGAACTCCACATCCCACAACTTTTATATTAGCCTCTCTACCATAACACTACAGTTGACCAAAATCATATACTTCCTTACATCCCCAAATTACAATCCCATCTCCATATTTGTTGCTTCCCCCTCCAACTAACCTTCCATTCCTCCATCTCCTGCCTGAGCTACCTTCCTCATTTCCTCTGCTGTCTTGCTGCTAGCACTACCACAGCCATTCTGTGCTTTTATCTTTTTCTGTTTTTCAGCAGGTCCCAATTCTTCTTTGGTACTCTTCAGCAAGAGTTAACTGTGAGTTGCCTGAGCGCTAATGAATGTTACTTGCAGCAGCTTATTAGTGGTGACTGAGCTGTGCCAACTTGACCCATACAGATAATCATGCCACCAAGTTAGGAAGGACGGGTAAAACAGGCCTATTTTGGCTGGCCTTGCCTACTGCCTGTACTCCTTCCTGCATCCCCATCTCTTCAAGTTCCCACGGAATTCCCACCTTCCCATTTCCCTGATAGACTGCTACTACAATAATTTCATCAAGCCCATACCTCCCAAGCTCCTCTCTCACTTCTACTTCTGAAGAGGAGCTCTTGAGCTCTGAAGACTTGGACCACAGATTGTCAAGGCCAGCAGCTATCTGGCTCATCAGCACACAAGGTCTGTCTGTCTGTAACGTATGTGAACAGCCAAGCAGCAGGGAAGGCAATACATTCCATCTGGCACTCTTGGTCATTCTTGTGCCCAGCATCATCAAATAAAGTGGGCAAGGTACATTCATTGACTAGCACAGTGTACGTAAAAAAAAAAAAAATAATGTTTTCTAAGCTGCACGTATCCCATGGGCAGTGTTATACAGGTAAAGATACTGTTATCAATAATGTTCCATATTTAAACTGAAAGAGTAACCTTAAGAAAGTTCAACAACAAAATAACTAACAATAGGGATTGTTTCTTGTCTCCATGGTGCTGATTTGCAGAACTGCTGCACGATAAAGATAAGACACATCCAGGGATCTTCCTAACAGCCTACAATGTTAGTCCCAAATACCACTGAAATCGCCAACACTTTCTCCTGCTTAGAGAGCGAATAAACCTTTTTGTTGTATAAAATGCAGATCACAGACAAGTACATCAAGACATCTACTTGTACATATTTACAGGTTACTGTCATTTAAGTTTTAAGTGCCTGTAATTGCAAGTCTGATTTTAAATGGCTTTTCTATTTAAATGAAAAAAATACATAGGGTATCAGCAGAATAATCCAGTTCTACATTTTAGTACTCTCTTCTTTTTTAATTAGATATTTACCCTGCGTAAAGATGATACCAAATACTGTGGAAGAAATTATGCCCTGCATTATATCTTTGCAGCTCCATTTCCAACAGCAGGGGCTCTTGTACACACACATCCACAGGCAAGATGTAACTCTATAAAACTGCCAGGCCAATTAAGCCTAGTTTACCAGATGAAACATTATTAAATATTCCATTAATCTAATAGCCAGTTTACGAGCAATCTAAGAGTGATTTTTTTTATGATAAAAATGTATTACCATAGGTCCTGATGGCCCTTGGTCTCCTTGATCTCCCAGGGAACCGGGTGTGCCAGCAATTCCCTAAAAATAGAAATACACATTTTTTATAATTGCACACACAGGTGTAGAATTGCAGCAGAGAAAAATCTCTATAACTATATTGCGAGTTGGATCCTGCATGTACACAAAGATAGACTACTACCCCTAAGAATTATCTCTAAAGACTTAGACCAGCATTTTGTCAAGATCTCTTGCCCAGGACATGGCAATAAAAGATCAAAGTGGGAACCAATTTCAAAAATTTTTGGTGAGGAAACACTTAAGACATAAGAGCTTCACTTATAGAACTCTTCACAGAGTTAACAGATTTATCATTCTTACTCTTCTACCCTTAACTCCTTTGGGTCCTTCAGCTCCTGGAATTCCTGGGTCTCCATCTTCTCCCTAAAAATTAATGAAATCCAGAACTTTATAGGCAAGGTAAAGACAGGCAAAGACAGATAACCACTTCCAAACAAGAACAATGTAAAACAAGACATAAAGGAAGCAAACATCCCATTTAATCATACCTCTGGACCAGGATTTCCTGTGAATCCAGATTCTCCCTACCAAAAGAAAGCATGAAGACTTCGTAAGAATCTAGAAGATTGCAATCTGCTTAGTGTTTGATGTCTTTAAACTAAAAACAATTGCAAAATTATTCTTAGCATTCCACCCCATTCAAGTAATACTGGCTACTACTACTGCCTCAAATGACACCATTTTAGATTTACAACCTGTTCGTCTAAAGGAAGAATATTTTGAAATTTCCATCAGTTTCTGAATTTTCGAGAGTATTCCATCTCTCAAATAAGTGTTTTATCAAAACTTTTTTAGGCCTCCTAGTAACATATGTTGGAAATTCAGAACTCAGTTTCTAAATGCAGTTTCAAAATGTTGTACTCTCCACACTAAGCAGTGAATCCATAATGTTTTGTTGGCATATTAGAAATCACTTCATTAATTGTTTTCAGTTACTTCAGTTTTCAGTTCTTTGCTCATGTATGAGAAATATGAGAAGTCTCACAAAGACCAATCAGAATTGAAGCGTATCTTTCCTTGACATTAGAGGAACTACCAGAATTCACACTATGTACATACGTCCTTGTTTTAAGAGCTCCCTCCCATGTGGAGGAAGTGGAAGTGAGCATGCTTGTTAAACATCCTATGACTTCATCCTACAATTTCTAGAAAATTACATGCACATAGGCCCCACATTACACTTAAGAGAGAATAATGTGACTGTGAACCTGTATAATTAACAGCAACCTTAAATAAAATCTATACTAAAGGCTTTTCTCTTTGCTATCAGGGGAAACCAACTCTTTCTAGATCTCTACTCTGGGGTGAATTGGTTTTTTGTTTGTTTTTATTAATTGCTTTAATTCAGACCCTCCCAAACCTTGGGCAGACACATCAGCGTGTAAGAAAGCCTTTAAGTCACTATTTGTTGTTTTAAAGGATTGACAAGAAGATTTAACAGAAACATTTTTTTCCTTATTTTTTGTAACAAGGAGGATGTTCCCTGAAATGAACAAGTGGGAGATTCCAAGAGATTAAAAAACCTAGTCTTTCATATAATGCATGTGTAACCTGTGAAACTCTCCCATAAAAGGAAATTTTTGGGGCGAAGAAGGTAAGAAAAGAGATTGGATAATATGAAGTGTCAAGAGTTATTTTAATAAAAAGCCATTTTAGAAAAAGGAGCTCATCAGTTGAAGAGGCTCCTGGGAAGCCTTTCATATCTGTTCTGCAGCACACTGTTTCTCCCACAAAAAGGGAGAGTGAAACAAGTGGGCCTCCAGTCAGATCCATTGGACCACTTCTGCTTTACAAGCAATGAAAAAGGACTAGTATTGTAATACTACATAAACTCTTGAAAGAAGGACTGCAGCTGTTTCCAACATGCTGAGCATTTTGCTCAGACTGACCCATTGGTACCACTGGTCCCATGATTTTGATCTCATACTTTCTTTGCACTTCTTATTTTAGCTGGATTCTTGTACATTTTTAGAGAAGCAGGAATTTCACTGCTATTTTTTTCAGGATTGTGAAGGGCATGACAAAAATTTCTAAATGTGTAGCAATCCAGAGGTCAATCCTCAGATTTTACAGCCAACCACAGGAGCACAAGGAAGAATATTTCACATTAAAACAGTGAGGATGTTTGGAGGGTAATCACCCTCACCTTGGTAATCAAGGAATCCCTCCTCTGAAAGAAGAAAGGAGTCCAAGGTGCCTGGCCCACCAATACTTGCTAACAAGAGTGGCTAGTCAAGCAGACTGAAGTGGGGAGAAAGCAGCAGGTACTCCAAGAAGTACAATCCCCCATGTCCATATACACACATCAAGGGAAAGAGTAAGGGAGAGTGCTTCTCAAAAGAATATCCTTCCTACTGCAGAATTTCTCACAAGGATGGTTGTGGGAAGGCTGAGCCTCTTTTTGAAACTCAGAAATGCACTGTGGCCATGTCTTACATTTCTTTTGAATCAAATATAAGTGGTCACATGTGATTTGACACTGTGAGACATCCTGACTCTAAGCACTCACCTTTGCTCCTTTGCTTCCTTCAGGACCATAGGCATCTCTGCCATCCATGCCCTGCATAGGTTGAATATACCATGAATTAGCTTTTAGTAGAGGATTAGATTCACATCCAATTCCATTTTGCAAAAAAGATCTCCCATTACAATGAGACATCCATGCTGTTAAGACTGACAAAGTAGGGTAAACTATCACAACACAGTCTAAAAGACAGTAGCAAACGGAGGTAAAATCTGTAGAGAAAAAAGAATTATGGTCACACTTCCTCTCCACTATGTGCCCTACCTCTAGCATATTCTCTTTCTCCTAGAGAACCTGATGGGAAAGATACTGTCTCTAGCCCACAAGGAATCTGGTGTCCATAAGGAAACTGAGAACCAAATATGAAATAATTTTAACTGTAGCAATAGAGAAAATAGAAGGGAATTAACTGTACTGATTCAGATGGATGGGTATTAAGGTATAGGGGCCTTGAATTTGGGCAAACAGACTCACAGGCATGCCTCTTGGTCCAGCTGGTCCCACTGGGCCCTTCGCTCCAGGGTCACCAGGTTCACCCTGTTATAATTGAAACATAAAAGGCATTCATTTGGCTAATCCAGGAGAATTCTTCTTTCTGAAATGTAAACTTGTTTATCAGACTGAACTGTGCTTATACATTTTATAGACTACTTGATGCTGGTCAAAAGCATTCTATTACAAAACATGTTTCACGGAGGGTTCCTTGGGGTAGAACTGGAAAGTACTTGGCAAATCAGAATATGCGGAGTATTCATCCAGCTAAACCCCAAAGGCCTTCATCCAATAAAACTCCCATTGCTACACATAATTACCAGTGAAAAGAGTGTTCTCTGCAAAAAGTAATATTTATGTTGGCACACCATAGCCTGGAATTCTACCAGCCTGAAGGATCTGTTGATAGCAGACAGTTTTTCTGAGGCAGGCTGTCCGCACTGTGGTCTTAGTCCTATTGCAAGTTTTGTTTTCTTCAGTTCCTTTTTTGAGTTTCACTTTCTTAATGAACTTTCTTCTAACAAGATCTCCAATATTAAACAGCACAAAACCAAACTGAGAAAATGGAATGTATGGTGGATAAGATCCCTACATTTCTTCCCAATTTTTGTCACTGTTTCACTGTATGTTTTCACACAGTGACTTTTCTCATAGTAGCACTTCGACCTTTTGATATCTCTGGGTCACTGAATGTAGTAACTCTACAAAGAGACTGAAAGGCTTAGCTAACTGGTCTTATTTATGCCTTTTAGATCCAGAAATACAACAACACCTAAAATGAGTTATTTTTCTTTAATAAAGTAAATCCCATATCAATGGCCATTAATGAAAAGAAAGTAAGGGATAACATTTATTATAAGTGAACCATAATGTGGACCACTTAGTAGTATAAGCCTTTCTGTTTAACTTCATGTTGATTCAGTTCTTCTCAACACATTCATTCCTGTATAATAGGCATCATAACAGTCAAGGTTCCTTGAACTGGTTAGGAATCTTTAGAACAAAAAGTTTAAAATAAGCAGCTATGTTTCATTGAACTGGGAAGTTCAAACTGGATATTAAGAAAAGGTTCTTCACTGAGAGGGTGGTCAGTCACTGAACAGGCTCCACAGGGAAGTGGTCACAGCATCAAGCCTATCAGAGTTCAAGGAGTGTCTGGATGATGCTCTTAGTCATATGGTTTAGGTTTTGGTAGTCCTGTGAGAAACAGTGAGTTGGACTCGATGATCCTTATGGGTGCTTTCCAACTTGAGATATTCTATGATTAACTGGTACATATTTTCAACAGATTGGACAGATCCTAGGAATCATAAAACAAGCTCAAGGGTCATATTCCTACGCATTTTATGAGAATCCAGGCCCCACTGGTGAGAACCATGACAACAATTAGAACAGCAGCCATGGCAACACTAAAAACTTCTTAGTAAAGCTCTGACACCTGTAAGATTACCTTGAACAAATCACTTGCCTTCCCACGCAATCTAAAAACGTCTACAAAACTTAACATTTTCACATGTTCCATAGGAACAATACAAGTGTTTGTTCATGCTTCTTCAGCCAGTTCTTGATTGAACGTTGCTGTTAGATTGCTGTAATTGGGTACCTTAAAAATCCTTACCTTTGCTCCTCTTGCACCTAACTTCCCCACAGAGCCAGGTGAACCTGGGGTCCCCAGACTAGCCTGTAATCAGAAGTATCAGTTAAAAGGTGCACAATGAAGACTCAAGGGCTCATTGAACTCAAGGATTCACTGCCAATTGAAACTATTACAGAATCAGTGTAAGTATTAGCACACTGTTAGTGCTAAGTGTTAGGCTTTTGAGCACCACAGTAAGAGTTACTGGTCAAGCTATCATTCCAGCTATTTACTGTTTTCTGTAAAACTCAAAGCGTTATTAAGTATGACATGAATATTACTTGCTATCTACATACATACCTAGTGAATACATACATATGTGCACAAACAATATGAGTACATATACACACACAGGTGTGTAAGCACGAGCATCATTACATGACTGAAGCAGACGTCCAAGACCGACAGAGTAGGATATTACAGTCCTGAGTTACCCTGATGTAATTCCAGAGTAAGAACCCCTGAATCAACAGCATCCCACAAGTGAGAAGACCAGCAGTCAGTGCTCAGTAGTTACCACCTCATCATAACCTAGCATTAAATCTCAAAGGCCAGACTTTAATGAAACCACTGACCATTACCTAACTTTGCCCTCAACTACACCACTGTACATCTGAATTTACACATGCTGTTAGTCCTGATACTATAGAACTGAGAGTGAAATCCAGAGCTAAGGCTTTTCATTGCAGTCATGCAAAAGCTTGGTAACACTGACGTTCACTTCTTATTCACCCACCTAAAATTATTTTCAGGACTGTAATTTTATCATATGAGGCTGCGAATCAGTTTCCTTAAGTACTGTACTGAAAAATCCTCCATTTCTTCTTTCTATATTTTTTTTAAAAACTCTTTATAGGAATAATATCAATGGTGAGAATAAAAAGCCCTAATGTGTACAGCAGGAATATATTATTTAAAGCTAACCAGAGGGCCTGGCATGCCTTGTGGTCCTGGCGGTCCTCTGATCCCTTGTGGTCCTCTTGGGCCCTAATGTAAAAAAGCCATTGGAAAAAATGTCAGTTCAATGGCAATAGCCTTGCAGTGAAAGTTAGATTGCTGCAACAATCAGAATCCAAGTGCCTGTTTCGCAAGCCTTAATGCACAGGTGAAACTTCTCGCCATTTTGTCTGTGTGAAGCATCTGAGATGGTTACTGCTTGAGGGCCATGTTCATAAAGCCACTGTAGTGTCTAAGATACCACAGGAGCCATAAGCAACCCAATGGAAGGCACACCTTCTCCAGATGCTTATAGCTTAAAACTTAAGAGCATCTTTAGAGCATCTAAGAGCATCTTAAGGTTGGAAGCTACTGTTAGTAGTCTACCACCATAATTCTCTACAGTAGTACTCCACCACACAATTTTATAAAAGACAATGCTTTCCTCATTGGTTTTGGCAACAGTATATCCTTTTCATCATTTTAATGCACCCTGGAAATACAGTACATTCAAAAATGTCACAGATTTTATGTATGTATTGCTAGCAACTTCTAATGAATTAACTTCAAAGATATCTGCTTGATAATACCCTGTAAGTTAGAGATGTGTTGGTCAAATTACTTATTTCTGCTATTCACTTTGCATACTCACTTTTCATTTCACTAGAAGTGCACCCACATGAAGAGAAAAACTTGCCACATTTAATTCTTCAGGGTTACAGAGGAGATTTGCCACAGAATAATCTTACTTATAATATTCATTAGTTGAAGTAAAAAAAGCATTCAAAAAAGAAAAATAAAAGATCAAGACTAGTAACTCATCTTCCCCATAGCTAACATAAAAATAATTCAGAAGTTCTTTTTAGTTACCTGCGGGCCTGGAAGACCAGAGTCTCCTGGGTAACCTGCTTCCCCCAGATCTCCTTGCTCACCCTGCCAGAACAAAATCAAAAAAACCAACCACCAAACCAAATAAATTAGCACCTGTCATATGTACATCAACAGATAATAATTTCATATCTGCACAGAGTATCAGTTGAGAGAATGTTTTCCAGTGCTTCCAAACAGTTATCAAGCAAATTCCTGTTGAAGAAAACTCAATTAAGAAGCAAAAGAGTTGAGTAGCTTTTTTTGTTGTTTAGAGTATGTGATCACTGTAAGAGCCGCAGCAGTCAAAAAGGTCAGTTTCATCTGCTTTGCATTTTGCTAAGTGCATTTTACACCTCAGTCTCAGCAATATTCCTGCATTACTCTTGTCCTTATTCACTGCAGAGACCATGAGAAGTCATAAAGCCCCAAGGTCAGATCCCTTCACCCTTATCCACCCAAAAAAAAAAAAACCCAAAACTTTTCCAGCTCCCAGCTACATAAAGTTGCTATCTAAGGATGAGTCAGTTTCACTGACATCCATAAGAAATATTTGTAGTCTGCTGGACTGAGTAAAATGGTGATAGGCCTGGCATATCTCCTTTCACTGGAGAAATTATAAATATATGCCTGAAGATTCTGAGGAAACAGATGGTTTTTGAAATACTCTCCTGAGGAAAACTGCATTTAAAAGGCTGTACTCCCATTCTCCATCATATGACTGAAATGAAAGATAACAATACTAAAAAAAAAAGGGCGGGGGGGGGAAGCATTGAGCATATTGAGCATGCTTATTTGTAGCCAGAGTAACAATACCGTAACACAGAACATCAATTAGTAGGCTGATGCCAGGCTTACAGCAGCTGTAAAAAAATAAAATAGAAATAGATTTCCACAAAAATCACTTCGACTGCAATGAAAATGGAAAAACTTCTTAGGCATATTCTACTGGAATCCAAAACCATGAACCATTAAAAAGTTTTCAGCTACTTAAATTAACTTTGAATCAAACCCAGAAGAGCTGTTCTCTTCTTTTTTCTCCTTCCCCCCCCCCCCCCCCCCCCCCCCCCCCCCCTTCTCTTTTTTTCCCCCCCCCCCCCCCCCCCCCCCTTTTCCTCTCTCTCTCATGCCTTCCTTTTGTTTATTCTCCTTCCTTTCTTCACTATTTTGCTTTGCCTTCAGAACAGAGAGTGCAGTGTTTTTCTTGTCTGTGACAAACACTCCTCTGAGGCTTTTAATCCCTACTGACCCATGCAAATATTATTTGTTACACTTTTAGAAGTCACAGTTGGTCATCAAGTACTTAAATGAAAACAGTTTGGAAGATCTCTCTTGCTGTGGGGTTCAGTCATCTCTCATTTCCTACCATATTATGGAAGAGTTGCCTTATCACTGGGGGAGGGCACATCCTTGGAGATAAAGAAGGTTGTCTCAAAAGGTTCAACTAATTCTGCACTCTGTGAGTTTACTAAACAAGTTGAATATTTTTACTTTCTAACCACACCCGAGTTCCTGTGCTTCTTAGTACAACAAAGATAAGGTACAAATCCATTTCCACAGACTGCAAGTTTTGTCCTGTTACCCCCATAGCTCACTTGGAGCTCACTTCTTTCTTTCTGCTGGTACCTGACAGAAAAATGCAAACAAAGATTTTTAGAGTTCAGCAGCAATTAAATGGGGGAAAAAAAAAACCAAAGCAAAAAGTTGTTACATAATTACGTAAGAAATTATTTCTGAGCTATCAGTAATTAAGAGGAAGGCTTCATGAATATTTGTATCTAAAATGTCAGAATTTCTGAGATAGGGATAGTAAACAGTAACTATAAAATGCTTGTGTTCTTTCAAGTTATGCTGATCCCTGTAAATAGGATACGTGCTTTCCCCCTACTGGCAGAGAGTATCAGAATCTTCCAGAGTCTATTCCCATCTGCGATCCCCCAGACAGTTAAAGTTCTGGAAACCAGCTGGGGCAGGGGTTTCAGCACAAGGCCTTCCTGTGTATTGCAGGAAGCTGGTATGTGATTAGAGTGTAGTTTGGGGAATTTGCAGGACTCTTACTTCTCACTGTCATTTCCCAGTGAAAAACTATTTCGAATCAGCTTAAATGTAAAAAGCTCATGTTACCTGGCTGCAGCACACAGGAAGACAGTAATAAAGGTATAGGAAATATAACAGGAGAGGGACAGGAAGGCCAGAAATAAGAATCAAATCAAACACTGTGCTGCTGCAGAAATATTACTACCATAAAAGACATCCCACTCCTTCCAGTAGCCTTTTTCCTTTACTGAAAATTATGTCCTATATTGCATCATTATTGTTATTCTCACTGCTATTTAGTAACATTTTACACTTGGCCTTCAGTTCCTGTTGCAGAAAAGGCATTCAATCCATGCAAAAGCTTAAAGAAAAACCACAAACCTTTTGCCAAATTAAAAACACAGCAAGCACTTCACTTTACATACAGCATCCACAATTAAAAACACAAGAATAGTATCAAACTGAGCAAACTGTTACCAAGTGTCCTCCAAAAGCCTGTTTTGTACAGGTCAAATACTTCCATGTTGTGAGCTTTGATGAAGAGAACAGGAACTTTGGAACAATTGCTAATTGAGGCCAGAGACAAAGTACATGCACTTCGTCCTGTCTCTTCTTTGATATTAGAACTGCACTGGAACTGCATGAATACGACTTGGAAAGAAGAGATGGGGTAAAGCTGGTCTGAATCTTGCTCTGACTATGCTTGTGAGTGAAGAGTTGCATAGAACAACCTCTCCTCAAAATGCTGGTTTGCACATTTATTCAGAAGCTACAACTCTGCCCATTCCCCAGACTCAAACACAGGGTAAGACTTCAAGATGTATTCCATTCTGCAGGTACTGACAGTGTCATACACGAAATTGTGATGTTCCCCTGGGTTTTATACGCACTATGATAAATGGAAAATGCTAAACCAAGGCATATACCATCTTCCTTATCTATGTTAGCAACTCTGCAGAGAGACTGGGTCAAATCTGAACTACTTGTGCTACAGCAACGTGTTTCCTGAAATGATCACATGACCTATACTAGAGAAAGCAAGCAAAAGGATAGATATAAGGAATATATCTTTCAAGCAGATATATGGGAGTCATGTTTTTAGGTGTTCTTATAGACGCCTGCCAGTGTGAAGGACAAAGGAAAATGTTTGTTTACCTTGTCTTAAAAAGAAAAAAGGAAAAAAAAAAGATAAAAAAAAAGAAAGAAATCTGAGTCTTCTCAGGTTCCTAGAACTTAGCTTTTACTTGTACTAATCCACTCAGCTTTTAGAATTGCTTTGATAACTGGACTTTGTAATTTATACCCTGGGACAAACAAGCTTTCTTTTCCAAGAACATTATTTAGAACTTCATTTAAAAGAATGGCATTGACATCTTCACCAATTAGATCTCAGCAAAGTTTCCTTTCCTTGTAGCTCCATGAGGTTTAGGTCTAGGAAAACCAGGGCTACATCCAAACAACATGACAGAATTTCCCATGAGAGGATCTGTCCGGAATGATCAGTCAGCATACACTGGGCTTGACCTATTCTTTACATCTTATACAAGCATTAGAAGTACACTAATTCTCTTAGATATCTTAAATTGTTCTCAAAATCTTGATTCTTTTATATGGTTTGAGCCAATTTTCAGAGCTGTGGTTAACACTTATGTTTGTTTTAGTAAAGCATCATTTAGAAGTAGCCTTGATTTTGTCTCAGCTGCATATGTGCATCATGCATATATCTGCATGCATACAGCAAAGGAGGAAAAATCTGTCAGACTTTTGGCCTTATGCTGCAGGAATGCAGCCTGACTACTCATTCCCATCATCTTTAGCAACGGTCTCTTCTCTGTTTAAGTTCCAACATTTGCCTTAATAAAAGCTACCGTCTCCTTCTGCTTCAGTTAAAGCTCCTTTCCAATTCTAAATCCTTCAAGTCAGGAGGACCTCCGGTACATCCGCCTGAGATCCAAAGGCTGCATTGGCTTGAAATAGACTTTTGATTATTAAACCCTTCTGTCTCAGATCACACTGAAATTTCTCCCTGAAGAGCAACAAACACTGAGGCTGGACATGCAGCTGCATACAGACTGGCAGCAGCAGCGTTAGCCACTCACCTTGATACCTGGAGGGCCTCTTCGACCTGCTGCACCCTGGGAAGGAGCGGCACGAGACATTACATCCAGAACACCATACAATATGTGAAACAGTAGCTTGCAATAAAATACTTCATACATACAATCAAATTAAATACAGCTTATAGAAAGCAATGAAAGGTTTAAGGTACAAATGAGAAAAGAGTGGATTTGGAACAGAAATTCTTACCCAAGTCTTAACAAAAACAAATAGACAAACAAACAAAAATGCTTTACACCCTTAGTGGGTGCAGAAGGCAGGCATCTCAACAAAATTCTGGAAAACATCTTCCCAGGCAGCTGCCCCTTGGCTGAAATACAGAGAACGAGAGCCCTCTTCCCTTCCTCCCAACTAAAAGGTCTGCGCTGCTTCCTGCTGCGCACTGCTCAGCAGCTCTAGCGAGTGTTACTGTTAAACCTCACAGCACTAGGGGCCTTCGGGATGTTTCTGCAGCCTGAGTGACCATCATTCCAGACTTTGGCATTATACATCTTTTTGACAAACTAGAAGTTTGCCTTAATGAGTTCCAGTATCCAGTGAATTAAAAAGAGCACCCAGTGAGCTTATATATAGGCTTGAACAGGCATACAGAACTTGCAATCACAGGGAGAAAAAAGTGATAGATTTATTTATGTTGAAATTACAAAGCCGTTAAGGCTCATATAAAAGGTCGCATTGAGTTTAAGGGCTTGTGACTTCACATGAATCAGACCTGAAATTAACAGGACAGTAAATTCCCAACTTAAAAAAAAAATAATTAAAAACCAAAACACAGCGCAATACGCATAAGTGACTAAATTTCAAGCCAAATTTGTTTCACCATGAAAATTTTAGAAGACTTCTGTTCCCTCTCATTGCAGGAGTTTTAAGTGTGGGATAAAATGAAGAGAAAAATTGTTTTTTTCAATGGGAACCCCATTGTATCTTGTATCAGTTACTTCCACTCCGTATTGATTACTACTCTTACATCAGGGCCAGCAGCACCCTGCTCTCCTTGGAGTCCATGCAGTCCTGGGTGGCCCTGCAAAAGAAAGTAATGAACAAGCTCTTCAAATACTCTTTTTCTTGTCCTTGCACATTCTTTATGTGTTTCTGCTTTGCTTCTTCTCCTAAGTAATTTCATTGCAATCAGTTGTATCATGCTAAATGCTGATTCTTGTTTTCCACAAATCATTTATAATCAAAAATTATAAGCCAGAGAGATCATACTTGCTTTGGTTTCCCAATCTATCAGTTACTAACAGTTCATACTTGGCCAAGGCTCTTGTGAAGTCACTTTTGTTGACTTCACCCTTTCAGTTAGGCTTCTTAAGATGAGAAAGTTTGATAAGGTTTGTTTCCAAAAAGTTATCAAAACGTAATTATCCAAAGAGTGACCCTCAGTTTTTCTACTGCTTTCAACACACTCTACATAGACATATATGAACATACGTGTGTCTGAACATGTGCACACAACCCTACTTGTTCAGATAGAACCAAACTTCCAAAAATAGTGGATTTTTCTCACACGTTGCTTGTTCCCACCATCTTAGCTTTCATCCACCATCACTTATATACTACTGTCCAACTACTTGCAATCTTTGCTTATTCTTTCCAAAGTGCAACAGTAAAATGGGCTGTGCTTTTTTTGTTTCTTTTCTTGCAGTATTGCTCAAACACCTCTTAAAAATGCAGACATCTTTATATAAGTACATATCCTGAGGAAACAGCAGTTCCATAGTAAAATGAGTACAGTCTGTTAATACCCAATGCATTTTCCCAGCATGGTTTTTAACCGTATCCTTACAACCCATTACTAAGAGCCTCTCAGGCTGATGATGTAGATTTGTGGCAGAGTAATACATTTACACTAAATCCCTATCTTCCCTTAGCTCTATATTACGAAAACATTTCCACAGTCTTTGTTAACCTTTTCAACTTTTTGTTTTTCCTTTTTTTACACTATAAGGCACTTCTCAAAGCTTTCTGTGTTGCAGATATATGCTAAAGGCAAGACACAAAATAAAAGAGAAGAGCTGCTTAGTCACTGAACAGCCAATAGAACTCAGAAATTATGAAAATCCTCTCTCCATAATACACTACTCCTTGCTTACCTGCCGCGCTGGGTTTCCCTTTTCACCCTTAGGACCAGGAATATTATTGCTAGTCCCAGGATCTCCCTGGAAAAGTTAAGCAGAGAGGTCATCATTTTCAGTGACCACACCTTTGTTAGTCTGATAATAGAGGCAGGATATGGAAAAGGGATTAATAAGATTTGTCACTGCAGCCAAGAAATACAAGAAATAAAAAGGCTATTTAAATGAAGATGCTTGCAAGAACACTATATAGGAAGTTCTGCAAAGTCCATAAGTTTCTTTTGCAAAGAGATGAAAAGAAATACTACTAATAGGCAACAAATTAAACCCTGAAAGTGTGAAGCTGCTCTGGTTGTTTGAATACAGATAATTCAGTTAATATCATAACTAGTTAGTGAGTTTCAGATGGGGTTCCACTAGAATGAAGTTCCATTTAGCTAGACACAGGTGAAATCCTGATCTCTCAAAGAGGCAAGTTACCATGACCCCTAATATATTATATTTTTTTTTAGCATTAGAAGACAGGAGTCAACACTTTGACTGTTTGGAACAAAGGTCTTTGTGGTGTCTCCACTGAAATTTTAGTACTCGGGGACTCCATTTATATAGGGCTCTGGAGCATGCAAGGAAAAAAATGTCAGCATGAAGAAGTAACTCGCCTTTGCATCATTATAATTGCTAATCAGGAGTCAGTGCACAGGGTTGTCAAGTGATCCAGAAATTCCTCTGTTGGGTGGGAACCACCAGGGAGGACTAAGTAGCTCCAAAAAGGAATTATGTTGCCCACGGTAAAAACAAACAAATAAATAAAACAAAAATGCATGGAACAAGCAGGTGACCTGAGGCTTAAACACCTGCTTCCAAGCAACATATCAAAACACATCAGTCCATCTGTATCTAACGAGTTCAGGACTCCTGAAGTATGCCATACTTCTTGCAGAGTACTGTGCCATCTAGGATTGTGAGCAACTCTTCAAATCATGTATATATCAGGCAGCTCCATCACAAACTCCAGGCACAAATCAGTGCAACCTAAGAAAAATGAAGGAATACACTTACACGATCTCCTCTTAGACCAGGTTCTCCTCGTTCACCTGGTTCTCCTCTGCAGCCTTTTCTGCCCTAAATACATAAAAAAACCAGCAGCAATTTTGGTACATGTAGAAATAGTATCTGTGGCAGAGGAAGGCCAGATAAGAGAACACTGATCTGTTTAAGTCAGTAGAGCTAAACTGATTCACAACAGGAGCCACAACACATTAGAAAAGCGGTGGCTATTAAAACTGACTCTCAGACACTACAGACAGCATTACACTTTGGAAAGAGGCTTCCATAAAACCTAAATGTTACTATAAGGGATATTTTACTTGTTTTCCTGTGTTGCCTTTCTCTCCAGACCGTCCAGGAATTCCACGTTCTCCCTAGATTCACAAAGAGGGAAGGAAGAAGAAAAAATTAATGATTGTTCTTTCTGATAAACATGGTTCTAAAATTTTGTCTGGCAGAATTAAACTTGAATCAGATATGCAACTCTAAACAACAGAATTTCTGTTCTGGTTTAAAGCCCATTAAAGCCCATTCAAAGGCACAAAACTCTGTACTTTACTACACTGTACTTTACTACACTGTACACTTTACTACACTGTACTTTACTTTAACTGCACTGCACATTTAAAGCAATGATTACCTGCTCTCCATCAGTGCCATCAAAGCCACTCTCACCATGTTCACCCTGTAGTAATAAGCAAAAAAAGCATCAGTCACTTACCTCTGAGCAGGGGAAGTGTTCACCCTACTTTCGGAAACTAGAATAAGAATAGTGGTTTTCAATGGCTAGCATGAATAAGTAATAATTATAAATAGGAATTAATAATTCATATTTTAATGAATTATTAACTTTTAAAAAGTCCATAGTTAAGAACATCTAATAAGAACAATTATTATTAAAACTAGAGATTTTCACCAGCATTTAAAATCTGCTTTTCCATCTGTTAGGTTTCAAATCTTCCCAACTGCAGCACCTACAAAATCTAGATATATTCCAAAATATAACTACTAGTATCTGATCTAAAATGCTGATGACCTTATAATTCTGGTGTCAATCATCATATGTGTTTATACTGTGCTTTTTTCTATTAATTTTTTTTTAATAATTTCATACCATGAACGGTGTATTGAGAAGCTAGAATGAATGAAGAGAAAGAAAGAAAGAACCATGATAAAAGCAATTACAGAAGACTGATCTTAGGCTTTAGGATTTGTAAAAGAAACTTTATTACTGTTTCAGCAATGTGATGCTTGCTACATAAACAGCCGTCACACACAGACTGCTCTTTTCCTCCCTTTGTTTGCAAAAATGAATCACCATACTGCAACCATTTATGGAAGGCATTTTCTCACAAAACACTCATCCCAACCTTAGGGAGTTTGCAATGTTAACTTGTTGTTCAGATGAAGAGTGAGGCTTCTGAATATAGTTATAACTGTGAGAACTTTATTTTGTTTATGTATCCTCCTCAATGTTTCAGATTTGGCCAAATATCACATTCAATTTTTAAAAGACATTTTGAAGTGCTTCTTCTGTCTTTCTTTACAAGGATAAAAATGAAGGAATTAACTGTGATGTTTTTATTTTAGTAGGAAATGAAATTAGCAGAGACCACTACCCTGAAAGCTGAAAGGATATTAATCAAATCACTGGAAGTGGCATAAGAGCATGTTGTAAACATTAGTTAAACCAACAGGAGTCTCACTCTGATAGAGAGAACAGATGCAATTGCTTTGTAGGTGTTGGTGCTAAATTGACTTCGCAAAACCACCAAGTTAAAGTTCCTGAGGAAAATTTTCAATAATTTATAACAGTTTTGTATGTACTAGAAGAATAAAAAAGGCGACTGTACATTTTGATAAGATTAATGTCACAAACAATAATTTCTTGAATAAGCATTCCAGAAAAATGTAGAGCAGTAAGCAATCATAACTTTTATTCAAGTCTTAATTTTTCCATCAGTAGTTTCCTACCTCAGAAAACCTGAGCCAAACTTCATAGTATTAAATATTCAGTGTTGGCTTTTTTGTCCGACTAGCTGTACTGAAATGCCTCACAGACTTCAATAAACTGCCCCGACCTTGCTAAGTTAGCAGTATTGAATCACATTTTTTTATGTGCTGGAAATTTCATATTTTTAGTTAAAATAAAATTAATGACTATAATGACTCAACATAATGAAGACACTCACATATTCATCGGATTTCACCAGGATTTGTGCTCCTCATAATTCCTACCACACAATTCAACATGGATAAATCAAAATTGTCAGCAAGAACTCTCCCTCTTCTATAGTCAGATGTTTCGGGTATTTAAAGGAGGACAAATTACTTCAGGGAACAGAGCAGAAAATTGAAAAGGGAGGAAAAACACATAGGAGGATTAAAATGTCAGTACAGAACAGTACTTTAAATAGAGCTGAGGTATCAGAAACACTCTCTGAACTTTCTCACATGAACAGCCGCTCAGGTTTGGAAGCAAACATTTCCTGAGTCTTTGAGGATCCTAAATCTTTTCTAGGAGTGGTTTTGTATCAAAGCACCCAATACAATTTGAATTCCATTTTAATTGCTCTAACTTGGGAACTAATATTGCCATTATAGATCACTGTCTTCCAGGCTTTACATTTTATTAAAGAATTGGTGACAATATCTCTTTGATGAACAGGTATGTTTGAAAGCTTAAATAAGCAGAGCTGCAAGATCAGTGGATGACAAAAACAGCTGAAGACAGGTCTGCATATTGAAAAAGTGTCAATAATGATTCAGTGAAAATACTGTCAAAATCCACAATAAGTGTTACAATCTTTTTTCCCCTTTCTGCTCTGCTTCCTCAACAATTAGAACATGAGAGTGAGCTGACCAGAATTACCACCTTGACAGATTATTTAAATAGCCAGTAAATAAATTCCTTTCCTGTCAATTAGACTAAATCAACTATGATTGCAACCACTCTAAAAATACAATACAAGTAAGACTGCTGGTTTTTAATCCATTAATCACTTGAACCCATTCTTATACAACCATAGCAAAAGTATATTAAATACTCCAAAGTTTTTACATTGTTTTGCTTCCTTGATGATATTTTTATTTTACAAGGTAATAAACTCAAAAGGAATCAGAACACTGTTCTCAAAGAAAATCGATCACACATGAAAACACAAACCTGACTTCCTCTATAGCCTCTGGACCCCTGAAATTGAAAATAAACATAGATGAAATTTGGTCAAGGTATTTTTATTGAGCTTGAGAAGCAGGGCACAATAGCTTGCTGTGCAGAGGCGTGCTGGGCTCCCTATTCATAGTTCCCACTGCCACATATGGGATTGCCCCCTTTCCTATGGGAAGGCAGTACAGCCTTTATTTTCATTCCCATTCTGGAAAGCTTTATAGCTTTACCTAAGGCCAGTCTGGAGCTGGTGGTGGAAGAGTCACTAGCAAGTTGCCGAGTTAGGAATCTATTTAGCCATTTGACCATTCTTTGGTTACACTGAGTACCTCTTAAAAAGAGACAGCAAAAATTGTCTCCTATTCTCACAGCTGGGTCTCACTGTCCATCCATGCTTCAAGTAGACAGCACAGGGATTTGTCTCCAGTACAGAGAACAGCTTTGTTGGAAACAAAATTAGGAAATGACATACTTGCCTTATGGCCTCTGGCACCTGGACATCCCCTGTCTCCTTGAGTCCCATTGAAACCAACTGGGCCTTTCTCCCCCTAAGAAACAAAAGAGAATGTTCAAACTCATCCATACAATGATGGCTATTGGTTAAGACACCACATAAGATTAAAGCAAGACAGAATCATATTACCATTCACTGCACTAAGTACACATACAGAAGTACAAAGCACGCATACAGAAGTACGAAGTGAAAACTTTCATACTGACTGTAAGAGAACAGTCAATTATTAGTTTGAGTTGCACTTGGTTCTCTGCTCTCACTATCATGCCATGTGTTAGACTGCACTACCAATCTCAGACTGAAATCTCTGTACTTGAAAGTAGGCCTTTTTGGTGGGTTGGATTTTAACTGAATATTGAATTACCTTCCTCTAGTCACTGATCTCTGACAGCTTCTACTGCAGGTTTGTTAGTACGGAAGTTCTAAAAAATATCAGAAAGAAAGCAGCATCTCCCAGCAGATCCCCTTAAAATTGCTGTCTCAAAGGTAAACGATATCAAACAAAATGAGAACAAACACGTGGTAAACACGAGAGCTCCTGTACTACCATGCAAAAGAGAAGACAACCTTGAAGAGCCTAAGATCAGAAAAACAAACAGCATTCTCTTTATTTTTTCATCTTTAAAGAAAGGTCTCTCTTTAAAATAGAAAAAAGGCAACATGGATGACATTATAGATGAAATTAGATAATGGTCCCACAGAACCACACGATATGAAAAAACAGAAGTTTAAGCATTTTGGCCTGACTGCATTGCCTATGTGAAACATTCAAACTAATTCCTGAGCTGAGCTGAGCACTACATCACAATAAAACAAAGCTGTCCAGCTTTATCTCCTCAACCTCCTTTCCTTGTGGCATCTTCTGTCGTCTGTTACCAGCTGTCTGCTTTCTGCTGTGCATTCACTACATTCAACTGTTTGGGATGCTTCCAATACTTATCTTGTGGCTGGAAAAAAATTTAGCATTTAGCAAGGAAAATTTACAACATGAAAGTCACTTCTAGGCCTCACAGGTAGGAGATGATGGAGAAAGTTTCTGAAAGAGCAGACATGACATCTTCTGATCCTTCCACAATAAAGGAAAACAAAAGGACCAGAAATTTCAGAAAGAAAACTTCAGTAATTTATCTGTTCTACAAGATTATTCTGGATTCTCAGAAGGTCAAAAATAGAAATTCATTTTGATACACAAAATCAAATTCAAAATTGTTTCCATCCCTTCACCATTTCAAAAAAGACAATATTTAGAATCTTTCAAATCAAAATGCTGCAGTGAAAAATTTGGGGCATCCCATTTCAATGTGTTCAAAATGTTTCTCATTCTAAAAGCCCCTCAAGATCTGAATTCTAATTCCTGCTTATGTCATTCATTTTTGTGAAAGGATGTGAAAATAGTTCTATTTCTGAGTAACAAATATTTTTTTTTAAGTCATTATGGAAATTGCTCAGATGGAATTTTATTCTATCATTCAGCAAATCAGGCCACCTGAAAAAAAATAAATTCTGTGGAAACTGCTCCAGTTTCTGTGGAAACAGCCAGTGATTTCCAAAGAAATCGTAAAACCACCATCACAACGGTATTTTCTTGATAATCTCAGGTGACAACTGTTCTTTTCCACTACCATCTTTCTCTGAATACACAGCAGGGCTTGCCCCAGGCCGCCTCACCAAAGGCAAATTCAGGCTGACTAATCTGCTGTGAGAACTGGAACTACTTGAATGTGGATTTTACAGTTATATACAGAGATAAATCCTCAGCCAGTTCTTGATTTGCAAGCTTTTGACTTGTAGTTAGGAGTAATACACATATCATGGGTGTAGTGCTGTAACCCAGTTAAACCTAGAACTAGGTTTAAGGAAACTATGGTCCTAAGGAAATTATATCTTATTCTTTTGGGGAGTTATTTGTTTGTTTCTAGACAGCAAAGGAGGATGAAATACTCCCAGTGTGTTGGGCTTCGGTTTATGCACATTACGTTGAAGTTTAGGTCAGGAACAGCACACTGCAAAGGATTTGGAAATCAGCAAAATGTACTACAAAATTTAGATGTGTTATCCAGTCAAACAATATTCACTCATGCTAAGAAGGGAAGGGATGGCCTTTTCTATAAGAACTTTCAGCAGAGAATCTGGGACAGCCTGTCATGAAAAATGAGTATATGATTTAGCCAGAAATACACCACACAAAATGCTGTTGTGTGACTTTTTTCTAATTGATTCTTTATCTGTATTATAAGCTATTATTATGTCAAGGTGCAGATGCATAGAGATTCAAGTCCATATACTTACCTTCAGATATATGTTGCTTAAACACATTTCAGGTTAACATTGATGAGCACTGGGTGAATGAGTAAGTGCAGACACACTCGGGCACCAACCAACAACATCTTAGCAGGAAGGAAAAATGTTTACTTACAATTCCACCTTCCTCACCAGGATGACCAGGAGAACCTCTGTACCCCATACTTCCCTGAAACAGAGGAATTCGAGTGATAAGTAATGCTGTTCTCCAAGCATATTGGGTTCATTTCTATCAGATTACTCTGCACATGGAGATAGAAAACATTTCCTGAAAATTAGATCTGGTTATGCTGATGAGGGCAGGTTCCCTCAGCTACATTTACAAAGACACTCTGCACAGTCCTATGAACTTGACACGGCTGTGGAAAAAAAACAAAACAACCGAAAAACAATGATGTTCAACACAAAAATGTCAGTATGTTATTTCAGGAAACTGCCTGATGGGTTAAGAATGCTCATTAGGATATTCAGTCAAATTAAATATCTTTCTTAGCGACTTGGAAAAGGAAACATTATACGAAACATTATACAGTAATGAAATTCTAAGCTGAAATGAAAAATATAAGGAGTTGAAAACTTGGTAGGACAAAGATATTGCAATACCTTACAAAGACTTTTAAGAATATTGCAACTTTGTGTTTGAAGCAATGCAAACCTCATGCCCTAAGGGCAAAAACTTGATCAGAGAGAAACTAAAGCAAACGGAATTTCTAGGAATGAGGATGAACAAAAATAAGACATGAATTTGTGCTGCAAAAGCATGCTTTTACAATTGTAGCCTGTACAACTCAGACATCATGTTTATCTGCCTGCAAAACAACTATGCCTACATTCTGAACACTGTTTTGTCTAAGTATGTTAATCTAGACATTTTAGCAAAACAGAAAGGTGCAGGAAAATCAACAAGAGTAATGAAAGAAATCAGGAAATTGGTTTACGAATAAATATTAGAAGACTATACTTTCACTGAGACATAACCGAAAATTCATTTAACTGCAATTACATAACTGGAGAGTGTGAACTACAGATACAATTTACTGAGCATGTTACTGGAATAACTAGAAATAATAGTCAAATGGAGACTACATATACTAAAAAGCTTAATAATGCTAGCATTACTATTAGCATACTGTAAAAGTGATAGCTGTAATACTTGAAAGGCTTAAAACAGACACTATAAAATCTTAATGTAAATTAGTACTGTATTTGGTAAGAATAAACTTATAGCAGAGGATATTTGGAATAACTCGTGGAACAAAAGGATAAGGCTCACACATAGTGAAGAAGGATTCTTTTCTACTCTCAGCTTGTTGGCTGGAAGTTTCTTGTTCACAATAACTAATAAGCCTCTTGGCTAATCAGACTTAATTTTTTAAATCCCTCTCCATTTGCTGCTGAATTGGTGAAGAAGAGTGCTTAATGTTTTTTATATGTATGAACTACTTTCATTACAGAAATATTTTTGAAATAGGAACATGCAACAGAGAAACGATCACATTTCATGTTTCTCCTTCATCTGTCCTAACAGCAAAGGCCATGGGCACATGCATGCATGCACACTCTGAAATACTACCAAAAAGGAAAACACTTTGAAAAATAAAGCAATTCTTAAGTAATATATATCTTAGCTCTCCTACCTTCCTTCCAGGACTTCCCTGGCCACCACGATCACCAGTTTCTCCAAGGCATTTACAAACAACCTTACAGCATTTCCTTTCTGCAACAGTATCCTGAAAAACGACAAGAAACATTTAATTGATGTATATTAGTCATAAAACAAAGACTGATGTTCCCTCCTTTTGCTTATATCACAGAAGGACTTACAAGATTTCTCTGCAGGATGTTTGCAATCTCTGCAAACCCAACACTCAGAGGTTCATTGTATCCAAACCCTCTGCCAAACTCTATTTCCCGAAGTTCAGTCAAATTCTGTGTATTGTCCAGGCCAACTAGTAGAAATGCATCAAGACCTTCAACATAAGCACAGATCTAAATTAGTGGATGCCTGATCTATATTATTTAACCAACAATATCATTGTGAATAACAGCAGTTCTCTAAAATACTTGTATTTCATGGCTTCACCACAGTATGTTAAAAGAAATCAAGCTACTGAGAACAATGTATAAGTAATTTGCCAATGAACTTCTTTCCCCAGTTGTCAGACCAGACTGCTACTCAGTGCCCAAACACAAGTGGAGAAGTGTTCTCTCCTGCAGAATTCAGAACTGGGTGTAGCCTCTGATGCTGCACTCACCAGTGAGAGGGGTTGCCCTGAATCACCCCAACTGCCAGAGCTGGACTCCAAAAACCAGAATCATTCCAGGCCCTCTGCACCCCTAGGGATGTTTCTGGCATCATCTGCCAGACAAGCCATCATGTACGCTGGTTCACAGGGAGAAGCTAACACTCTCCCAAGTGACTCCTCTCCTGAGGAATGCCATATTAGAGAGGTAATGTTATGTGGAAATGTTGCAGAGAGGGAGCAACACATTGGGCCACTGGTAGTAGGAGGCTGGAGCATCAATGAGGCGCTGTATTACCTTTAAAGTGAAGCGAGTCAGCTGCTTTTCTAAGATCTTCCAGCGAATCATCTAGGCCATCTGAAAATACTAACAGAACCTGTCGGGAAAGCGAGTAATGCCAAGTCAATTGAAAACAGTGTAAAATTTGAGTCATTGTAAAAAGTATAGTTTGCGTTGAAAACTGGCTATGAGGCGGTCAAACTGCGCTACACTCTTGCAGATCTGACGCATGTGCTGGTAAAAGTGCTGAGGAGCAAGGAGAATAAAACACAAAATCCTCTATTCTTCCCTGACAACATTCCCATGTAAGGGATTTCTCTTGGTGATCAATTCATAGCACTGCTATTAATTATCCCTCTCATCTTCTAAGTATGCTAGGCAAAAGGCCAATTATGCTGTGACTTATTGGCTGAAGAGCTTCTCTGATATCAGAGGAGTTCTCCTATATGTGAACGTGGAGAAGAAGTTAGAGCAAACAAAAATTTCCCTTTCTGCAAGAGCAGCTCCAGTTGGCTGTCAACTGAGCCACACCAGGAAGCGCATCCTCTCTGGGTCCAGTCCTTCCTCCCTGCAGATGCTTATGTCCCCTTGCCCTTCCCACACAGGTAGTGATTACCCTGCTCTACTCTATGCCATATTTTTCCTTGTTAAGGCATAAGGCTTAGCTCATATAAAGATGCTAATTCTAACCCTTTTTATTGGCTACATTCCCACCTTTTCAGGCCAAAGAGCTATTGGTAAGACTATTCTAGGGCTGAGGAAAGCACAATTTCTTACAGTTCCCCTCCAAGCAACTAGTCTCTTCACATTTATCTCCTTACCTTCCCCTTTCAAACCAGAAGAAGTCTTCTCAGGTCCCAATTATCCAGCGGATTAGGTTTCCCAGCTGCCCAGGTAAACTGTCTCCTGCCCCCAACAGCAATGACCTTAAGTTCTCCTAAATATACTGACTAACAAGCGGACAAGCACAGCTGGGGCTCCTTCCCTCCCATCCTTCTTATTTTACATTCCCTATACAATGAACAGCTTCAATTAATGTGAACTCTATTACTTCTGTTAAGGCAATTTTTTTCCACAAGTGACAAAGGCAAATGAAGTGCTTGCCATGCCAATCTTCCCACTTCTGTGCTAAAGCAGCAAGGAGACCAGAATTTAAAAGCAGGCAGAGTTAACTGGTTTTGGTGGTGGAAAGTTCCCAAACATCCAATCTGGAGGCACTGGTACCAATTCTACATTTGCTCAAGCAGAGAGTGATACAGAGGAGAGCTGGACCGTGGATTGGTAAACACATCACAGACAAGTTAGAAACAACACTGCAGGCCTGGGCTTGATGTGCTTTTTTGGCAATCTTTTCATTTTAAAAACATGCAGGGGGTTGGGACTGTGGGGCGTTGGTGTGGGCATTACATATATTTACAATGCTTTTGTTAATATAAAGCTTTTCTCGGAACACATCTGAGTCTTGCTTTGTCAAAAATCCTCAAATTAGGTCCAAATGTTTTGCTGAAAAACAAATAAATAAAGAAAAAATGCAAACAACAGAGAATCACTATCCCTGAGGAGTTTTGCAACTAATAATCTTTATGGAACAGCTATGTTATTGCTCAGGATCCTGGAGAGATTAAATTGTGATTTCACATGCATACCAAAGTCCTGCATTTTCGATTTGCACATAAACACTATCAGAAAGGAATATTAATCAACTTGGAAAGTGCTGAGATGTGCAGCATATTTCTTTCTAGTAATAACACATAAGCAGAAAGAAGTCTTGCTTAACTCTAATCTTCATCGGGGATCTAACAGAATTGGCAATTTGGAAAAAAAAAAGCACTGTTTTTACTTTTATGTCAAACAAGTTCTCTCTACTGAGGCCCAAAAGCAGCAAAATTGTATGTGGTCATGTTCCCTGTCTAGAATACAATAATGTTTTAAGAAATCTTTGGAAAAAAATAGTATTAAATATGCACCAAATTACACCCTAGTGGTAAGCCTTACCTATGCAAACGCTGTAAAAAAACAGAATGCCAACTTTCATATGAAAGTAGGGGGATTCGTAACAATATGGCTTTTGCACTCCACATCAGTTTAAAATTAACATCTTCGAAGATAACATCTTTATAAGAGTTAAAATAAGGTCCATAGAGCAAATCCCTTATGTATTATGCAAAGGCCAACCTGTCCTTCCTCAGTAGGAAGGTCTTCCTGCACGGAGACCTTAGTAAGTGATTATATTCAAACAACTACTACAGGACACAGTGCTTTACTGAGTTAGTGCTTTATTAAGAATAAACTGTCAGGGCAACAACCCTGAAACAGTCCAATGAGATCTAACTTTCTTTCACCTAAGTAGAAAGATTCCCCATTCACTTCAGAAGAGATTAGATCAAGCCTTATGCTTCTTCCTTCACCTCACTTCAAGATGGATGAATTACCTGCAGTGTCTATGCAGATTTTCCTGATCATATGTACTAACCTAAATGTTCTGGGTACCATGTCACTGCAGGAGTGCGTTGGGAATTGAAACTGATACATGCAGTGATACCAAGGTGAGTGAAAGAACAGGAAGTTCAATATAAACCTAAGGAAACACTTTTTTACCATGAGGGTGACTAAGCACTGGCACAGGTTGCCTAGAGAGGTTGTGGAGTCTCCACTCTTAGAGACACTCAAAAGCCATATGGACACGATCCTGGGAGGCCTGGTCTACTTGATCCTCCTTGAGCAGGGAGGTTGGACAAGATGACCTCCCGAGGTTTCTTCCAACCTCAACCATTCTGTGATTCTGTTTATTGGATTCACCAATTCCTGAACTACCTTTTTGTTTCCCTGGAGTATTCAGCATCCGAGTCTGTAAACATCAAACTACACAATTTTTCCAACACATATGTTCAGACTATTAAGTTACCTTAATGTTAGCAGAGGTCACATTAATGAACTTCTCCTCAATTGCCTGTAAGAAGTCTGTGTTCAGGTAGGTGTCCACAGTGGTTTGTGCATCTAAGAATTTCTGAATGATGTCTTCATTATATTCTTCAAAATCAGAATCAAAGATGAATTCTTTGGTCTGTGCCAATACTTGGAACTTGAATCTAATGTTGACTGGAGAGCCAGCATTACAGCTGGTATTTGGCAGCAACTTCATCTGGAGTAAAAGCTTGGGCAGGAATGCTTGCAATTTCTCTCTCAGAAGCACTGTGGATGCTGGCTGCACGCGCCTTGAAATATCAATTGCTATAGAAAGATCTATATTGCAATCTGAAAAAAAGTAGAAGAAACAAGAAAAAAACCTACACTATTTGTGATCTTGTCTTTTGTCAGGATCATGGGAGTGGAACAAAATTCAATACAACAGATTTAAAACCAGAAGTCAAAATCAGTGAGATGGTGTTTCATGTTTACAGAAAACCTATCAGCTCACAAGTTTCAGTGGGGCTATGTGAGCTTGCAGATACTAAGGACTACATTACTGGACATACACAAACTGCAAAACAGATCACTGTTCTCCAGCTGTCAAGCGTCCTCAAAGGGCCTAATCTTGCAAATGTTTCCGTGAGCTTTGCTACTGTGAATGTGCAACACATATTCCAGTTGCAATGGGAAGTTTGACTGCACTTCACCACTTTGTCACAAGACCAGATGATACGTACATATGTAGAACAACAGGCCAAAGAAACAAAAGTGAGAAAAAAAAGCAGCATTGCCTACGTGCAATGGTATACATCCCCTGGGAATAACAGCTGCTGTAAGGCGAGGGCTACCTCAGTTATGGAATTGCTTGTGTAGCTCCTAATAATAACAGCAAATATTGTGATCTGGTTAATTCCTCCTCCCTCCCCTGTCATCCTGCCCTCATCAAGCAGCTAAACCACTTGGCCTATTTCTTTTGTACCTTGATTCTTCATGTGGCATGTTACATTTTATTCTGTGCCCCTGGATGCATTACCATCTGTTGCTGTACCTCTGCAAAGAAGTCAGAGGCACGCAACTTTGTAAAACTGCACTCTCCCTAATTTTGTTCCTTCTTCACCCATTGACTCTGAAACGCTTATCAAACACAAGGTCATTTTCCATGTTTGCTAGTTTGGGTTAGCTCCTGTAGACCACTATTCCATATGAGCTTCATTACAGTTTTCTGGGATTTCCCTCACTCTTGAAAAAGATGAATGTGTTCAGCTCTTTAACAAAATAAATCCAGAAATAATTTCACCTCAGAGCGGCCATCGTGATGTTTCAGTATTTTCACTTGCAGTACAAACTGCCCCCTAGAGGGCATTTCATGCTGGTAAGCAGCATGAAAATCTTTATACTCAGAAAGTCACATTGGATTAGTTTTTATGGCTAAAAAATCCAACATTCTGGCCTTGGAGCAATATAAGAAATCTATACAGCTTTTCTGTTTAGTCCACAACAACAAAAAAATTATCTTAAACAGATGAATATATATCTATACACACACACACTCCTCAGACATGCCCCTTAGCCAGGTTTTAAGGCTGGATCTCTGGTTTCAAGATTCACAGAACACCTGTGATCCATCCGAAAGTCATCATCAGTTCAGGGGAAAACATTTTTCTATTTGTGAAGGATGTTTCTGATTAAACATTTCAATGAACATAAAATTTACTGCATATTTCTTCCACTATGTGTTCATGTCCAGCACACAGAGTACGTTCTCACAATGAAATTTTTCTGAGCTTTGGGTCTTTTTAATGACATAGACTGGAGGCAGTGTGAGGGGCAACTGTGGCCTCAGCAGCTTAGCCCTGACAACTGGTCATCCACACTGCCAAAGCTCTTAAAACATTCCCTGCCAACTCCCCAGCGTACCAGTAATAATATCAAAACAGCAGTAAAGCATTCACTTTTGTTCTAATCACCTGTTCTCCCACACACATCCCCATTGTTAAACTGCTCTGTCTTACTGGTGCAAAGATATCTTTTTACCCTGTTGATGATACATTGAATGCAGTTTTTTAAATTTGAAAAATCTGGCAGTTCAAGAGAAGGTGACAACAGGAAAGATCAGCAAATATAGGAAAACAGATGACAGGACAAGATAAAACAGGCTTCACAGGAAATTGGTCTTTGTTTTATGAGACAAATTTATGCAGAACTTAACAATAAATACATGCATGGGCGAGAACAAAACCAATATGATTTCCTTAACTTCTCTCTCTCTAAACAAGCATGCCTGTATATATATTAAGTTTATTGCTGTATCTCCCATGGAATCTCCCTGTTGCCTGACCATGAAACACCAGGAGGTGCTACTGCATCAGCCACGGTCATGCTGTTCCAGGGCAATGCACTCCACTTCCACAGCAGCCCTTCTGCTTTCAGGAACTGGGGGGTGCCTTTTCAGCTGGAGGTTTCCTCAGCTCTTGATGGGCAAAAAAGATGGGGTGGGGGTGCAGAGCTCACTCTGAAACAGGCCTGGCTGTCCTCTCTAAAAACCAACTAGTAAATACAGTTCACAAAATAGCTTGTGGCTTCAGGGGGGAAGGCCCAGCTCTTCATTTTGGCCTGCAACACCCTGCCAAACATCAGCCAGTCCGGGGGTGATTAAGATCTCCGGAGTCCAGGGTGCAGGAGAGGCAAAGTTATCTATTTGTTCACTGGTTCTCACAAAAAGCCTTAGACAAGCAGCGCAGTTATCCCAGTGTTCCTTTCTCATGGAAGTTTCTGCTCACTAAGGGAATGGAACCTGGAGGACTGGGTTGGATCAATTTTATGGCATAACAAACAAAACTAAGAGCGTGTTTCCAATACATGTAAAACATCAGAAGCTTGAAAGGACAGTCAAAGTATGGGCACAGAGAGGAGAAACACTCCAGAACTGTCTCTTTCTGTTATCCCTAATCAATGCCATCCACTTGCATCACAGTAGGTCCCCCTCACCTTCAGCAGAGGGGGAGCTCAGCCTTTCGATTTCTCATTCACTATACTTTTCTTTCTGCAAATTAACAAACATATCTTCAGTATTATCTTACCACATTGCTGGCATGAATATATAATTTTAAAGAGCAATTGTATATGCTTTCTGCTTCAGTCTTCCTACGTGACAAGGTAACCGATACTGCAGCACCAAGTTGGAATAAACTCAGATACAAACCCACCATCTGACGTCTGATAAAAGTTGCTGTTAATCGAAGGCAATACTGAACTTTTAGTCTCTTTGGGGTTGGGAGCCTCTCAGGCTGTGTAGCATCCAAGCTACTGCTGCCACCAAGAAGACATGATAAGCAATACCACCTTCTGTCTCTTATATAGGAAAAGCTTTTGGTAGCATCTCAGAATTACTGTGGAGTTGCCGTTCACACCTTGCCAAAACCTCCCACATATCCAAGGATGGATTTTCTCACAACCCCTCTCCACAGTGCCTCTGTGAGACTTAATTTTTGTCAACAGTTGCTGCTGACAGTCCCACTGAAGCAGTATGGTCAGCTATAGATGACAAAGTTAGGTTTTTGGAAGGCTCTTTTTAAAATATCACTGAAATGCCTGTTTCTCTCTTTTGGTTAGGATACCTTGGGCATATCTTCTCTGGCTCCTTTCAGACACTGAGGAGCTATGAATATGAATGCTAGATGTGAAGCACTGTCTTACTTAAGAAGATATTTACTAAGATATTTACTACAAGTTGAGAAAGTTGCAAGACTGAGTAACCTCAGCAGTATTCTTTGGTAAAACAGCTCCATTGCTGTCCAGCTAGCTCAGGTACTTTTATCAGGGACTGCATGTAGCTATGTGGCTATCCACCATTATACACCCAACAAAATGTTTATGTTACTTACTCTGGCTAAGGAAAATCACATCAGCATATTGTTCTGCAAATGCTGCACAGAGTGGGGGGAAGTGACAGATGAGACATCAAAAGAAATACTGTCAACCTATACCCAGATCTGGCTTTAAATGTAAGCTAAACGAAAATTACAACCTTTTCATTGATCTCCACAATTTTAAGTTTAGACTGAAGTTTTATCTACAGCATACCATTAAACATACTATATAATTGCTCTAATTCTGTAATTTGACTAATTAAAAAAGAATTCTAGTTAAAGTAAACCTGCAAAAAAAGTCCTAAGAAAAATGTCTTGAGAAGCTCTACTTCTGACAGTACTTATGTAGATAAAAGTTTCATCTTTCTTCCACTGAATCTTCCACTTTTGACCATGGAAGTGAGACTGCATACTTTACCATTCCATCCCTTCAATATTCCATTAACCAAGCTCTTATACATCACTACTGAAATCCATACTGCATCTAAGAACTGGATCCATTTGAGCACTTCAGAATACGCCTACTTTTATAACAACGCCAGCCTGTCCCTTTGTTATCACCACAGTGATTTGAGGAACCCATTCTTCCTTTCAGCTACCAGCACCTGCTAGGAAGTGATCGTCTAGCACAAACCAGAGGCTGTGGCCAGTTTTGCTGCCTCCTCCTTTTTAGTGTAATTTCTGTCTCTTCTGCAAGGTATCGTTCTTGTTATAGTAAGTGTTCAACAAAAATATCATGCATCACTGTACTGAATCGTACCAACATGGATTTTGTCTTGCCCAATACCAAAGCCACTGACCATTGTATACAAGAAGTCTTGCACGATCTTGAAGTTCTTTGTCCCTGTGCTCCAGGTTCCATCTACCAGGAAGATGATGTCTGCTATAGACGCTTTCCTGCAGACTAAAGAAATATTTTGTAACTTTCCTGGTTTCCTACAGGATGTGCAATCTAATAGAAGAATAATTCTGCATCCCAACTGCATTTTGGAATCCAAGACCTATTGGCCCTTGTCAGAATAATCTTTCCACCTACCTTAGTAAATTCACAGCACTCACTAGTTCCTTCTTTTCCCCCTGTTCTTCATACAGAGGGTAAGAAGCTACATCCTTCTGCAACACCATTCCTAGGCAAAGGAGAGATGCTGAAAATGACACCAACACAATTTCCATACACAGCCTGCACAGCACTCATATGTAGTAAATGCAGATGGTAATTGCTGTACACACTTCTGCATGTGAACCACAACCCTAAGGATGCACTGACCTGCTGTTAAGTGAGTGTCCTGGTTTGAGCGACACAGGATTAATTTATCTTTCAGTAATTTTACTTTTCAGTAAGGTCTCTTCTAATGCTAGGGAAAATGGTACTTTTAGAAGACTCTAGCATTTGAATTTGTGAAAATATTTACTTTATAGTCACCTATAGTATGTGGGTTTCAGTCTCAGTGTTTTTGAGCACAGCCAGGTGCAGGGGTGAGGAGGAGTGAGACCCAGGCACTTGACCCAGGCTGGCCAATAGGATTATTTCATCCCATCAACGTCACTTTCGATATAAATTAGACAGTTTGCTGAGGAGTTTCTCCTGTTCTATGATTGCTGTGATCCTGAGAACTTCTCACCTTGGTGCTGGACCCCTGAGCCCTTCCTCCTGAAGCAGTAATGTTCATAGTGTCTAACATTTGCTGTCCCCTGCTGGGAGTGCACAGCTTCCTACTGATAGAATTGGCTGAGTATAATCTTTGTATATTTTATATTGGTATCAGGATCAATATTGGTACGTTAGTATTATTAACATTAATTTTCTAGTCTTATTCTATTAAATCTGTTTATATTTCAACCCTCAGCTTTCCTGTTTTTTTTTCCCGATTCCCTTTCCCAGGTGGGGAGGAGTCATTGGGTGATAGAATAATTGTCTCATGACAATAAATTGTCATGGGTTCTTCAAACCATAACAGTGAGCCCAAAGAAAAGGTTACTCATCCACTTCAAGTTCCATTCTGCAAGCGTACATTACTAATAAATATTTATTATCGGGGGGGGGGGGGGGGGGGATGTTGCATGAATGGGGAGGGGTCCCCAGGTTTCGGGGTGGGTCCTGGGGTTCCGGGGGGGTGTCCTAGGTTCTCAGGGGGGGTCCGAATATGGGGAACGCGATTTTCCGAGGGGGAGAGGGGAGGGAGGCGTGTGGGGAGCCCCAACGCTTCGGGGCGGAGGGGGGGGGGGGGGGGGGGGGGCGGAATTCACACCCACTTAAACAGAACTAATAACATTTATTTGTATAAACACCAAACTCATGTGCTTCCACACGTTTCAGAAGCACATCACACTGGTAGGGCATGGATGAAACAGTTAGTTCCTCAAGCCAAGAGTCATGAAGAAAACGTTCTGCAAAGGGACAGACCACTTTCTCAAGCAGATCTTCCAGAAGACTTGACTATCAAAATGAAAATGCTAAATCCTGTGACTTATCATTCTTTTGGTGGTCTTACAATTGTATGCCACTTTTATTGCTTTTGCAAATATGGAACCTCAGCATGCATGAACAAAAACGAAATTTTAACGAGCTATTGCATTTAATTTTGCAACTTTTTAGGACAACCCTCCTATCCTAGTTTAAATATATGTTTCATAAAGACATACCATGTTATCCCTAGTTACGGAAAGAATAAACTGCCATCAATTCTTCATCTCTCTGGCATTGGGTATTAGTGAAAAAATGAATTTTACTATCAACTTGAAAAAGAGTAATTTCTTTAGTGTATTACCAGTCAGCTGTGCATCTATAGAGCAGAAGGTGGAAACAAAGACAAGAACAAGAAGTTGTTTCCAGTCATCCATTTTGAAACCTCCCTAGAAAAAAAAACAAAGACAGTAAGAAATACAGAACTTTAAATTCATATTTTGTTCCCTCAGCTTTTAACACACAGGCTGAACACAGGCTTGCAGAGCCTGACAATGATGTACAGCATACAACCAAAATGAACTGTTCATTGCTCTGCTCTCACAACCATGCTCTGTTTCATTTCACACAGCTATATTTACCATGATTCAAAATTCAACTAAAAGCAAGCTATTCACAATCTAAGATTAATGGGAGCTATGCTTCCAAGATTCCCCTCTAGCCTTGAAATTGCCTACCCACCCATCTATTCAAAAGAAAAATTTTGTGGTGGTATCTATACAATACACATAGATTTGAACAAACATTCATTTATAAGTGAAATATGCCAGTTGGCCAGTAATAAAGACATTTGCCATATGAAAGTGTCACAACTCAGTGCTGTAGGAAATGGGAATGGAAATCTCTCAACAAGAAAGTACAAAATTAAGCCACACTGAGGTGAGGCACACTAAACAAGTGAGAACAAAACCATTTTGAAAACCTTTCAATTCTAGGACACATGTACACTAAATAGCTAAATTTAGCACACTAAAAAAATAATAAACCTGAGCCTCAGAGACCAAGCATGCAAAAAAGGATGAATATGAAAACATTTCATATGTTGTTTTTCTTTGGAGCTGCTGAAGTTCTTCTTTAATGACTAGTTCCAGCTGCTTTCCTCTGAGTTCCACCCTCACATTCTGTCCCAGATCAAAACTGAGCTCTATAGCACAAAGCTGATGGATGAAAAGATTTTTCGTAATATTTATGAATATAAAGGCCAAATGCTTCTGCACAGTGACATGAGTAGCAGAGAACCAGGTTGGCTAGATATGTCCAACAGTGAGGATGAGAAAACCAGGTATAGTGCTTTATTTTGTGCATTTATTCTGTGACCCTTAGTTATTCAAGCATTTAAAACAGGTGAGTAAAAGATGCCACTGCTGCATTTCTGCCAGCCAAAGTCACTCCTCACCAGCCCTTTGTAGCTGGTCCTCTGTCAACTGATAGCACATCTCCTCCTATTCTAGGGGAAGCAACAGCTTGACAGAAATGCTGTCCATGTTGTACTTCTTTCCCATGGATATGGATGTCAGAGGTAATGCTCTTCATCGCTGTATGTAGCCTCTTCCTCAGACCTCCCAAACACACCTTTGGCAGCAAGGTTTCTGCAGAAATTAGATTGAGGAGGACTACAGAATGAACCTCTGAGGAAGGGGAGATAAAATTCAGCAACCTGACATAACTCGGACAATATGCCCAACTGCTCAGTGATTGAAAAAGACACCCCACTGGGGGCTTCCCTAAGATCTCACACTTAATATACCACCTATGTTATAGTGGTGTTCAAGATGCACGGCTACTGACTTTTATGTGCTACCACCTGTTTATTACCAAAATTTTACACAAAGCACCATTGAGCTACCAGTAACATAGAATAAGCCAAACACTGCTCTGTCTCAGGCTATCTTTTGAACCTGTTGTTTAATCCTGGCTCAGATCTGAAGAGACAGCTGGAGCTAAGTGAGCCACTTATATTCCAGGCTTGGGTTAATACAGAGTGCAACCTCAGTAAACCCAGGATCCTGGCTCCATGCCTTTTTTTTTTTTAAAAAAAAAGTTTCAGGGCTTCTGGAATTCTGATGAGAACAATGAATCTAGAACTTCTATTTTGGAGCTGATTTGCAAAGAAACTTAGCCAGCAATTGTATCTCTGCCATTGCCTAACATCTAATGATTATGTTGTCATGAATACTGCCAAAATTTGTAAGTAACAGAAAGAAATGTATGTAAAGACACACAGAAGCAATTGGACAGCAGGCAAAATACAAGCTAGTTCATCCTCCCAGCAGCTGGAGGGCTCCCTAGGCATGCTTCTTGGAACCCAGCAGCACCCTTCTCAGAAACAGACAGCCCCAGACACAAGTTAATTCTTTTTGTGGAGGGATGTGGAACCATATCTGTATATTGTGAGGACATTCAAGCAGTGGCTACAGCATCACAAGTTAATCCACACATTAGTCTTTTCAGTATCTTCAAGGATTGTGCTGGTAGCAGGGTAGCCACCTATGCAGCCTGCTCCTCTTTATTTCTGCCACTTTTGTTTGATAACCTTCCCTTTACCACTAGTCACCAAACAAGTCCGAGTGGTCAGAACAAAGGTCCACTGTGCTCAATCCCTTACCTTTGACAATGGCCATCAGCTTAAGGAAAGAGCATAAAAGTAAAGTTAAACAATGTAAGTATCTATCTTCTCCCTCCCACACAGACTGGTTTAACAGGTTTCCAGGTTGCATATGGGTGAAGACCTTATTTCCATAAATTCTTCTAACCTGTTCTGAAGCCAGCTATACTTTTATATCAAAATCACAAACCGATTAGATTGTGTATTATATTGTTAACATCATTTATATTCTACTGAAAAAGCGAGCCAAGTATCTGTGAAAATATAAGTTGATGATCAAATTCATTACACTGTTTTTTAAACTGTATCTTCGATCTGCAAAGACAACTTAGTGGAAAGGCTACAGCTGGTCTAACATCATAGCACAGGGTGCAGTTCCAGGTTCTTAGACTAACAGTATGCAATATTACCCTAGGTCTTGTAAATAACAAAAAGCAATGAATAGGAATCCTCTGCTTGACTCTGTATTCTACCCTCAGGCAACAGCAAAACTTCATTTCCAAGTATCACCACACCAAGGTCCCCTGAAGAGTTCTTTGGAACCTTCTTCTGCGGGAAGAAAAAAAGCCACATTTCCTATATATCAAGACATTTATCATATATGGGCACTCTTTACTATTATTAGTACAGCAGTAACACAGAGATTCCAGATGTAACCAAGGTCTCTATGCAACAGAAGGAATTTGTAGATTTCTTCATGTCCCACACATCAGTTTTCTTTAATAAGCGCTTCTAATGTAAGAGAAACTGTGGTATGTCATATATGAAACCATAGCCAAAAAAAAAAAAAAGTTTTGCAATCATCTTCACAATTAACTTTTGCCTTGGATTGAATTATTTTTTCTCTATATATCCCTAGTAGTTACTGAACCACTTAAGAGTTCTCCTTGATCACTTTGTCAGAGATTTGATTCCTGGTTATCTATTTTCACTACTATGCTTCTATGACATCAGCCTGTTTTTTAGACATTTACAAGCAAAAAGTTTATACTGAGACAATTAAATATTTTAATGGTATCCAAAATAAAAACAATCATGATTGCTAACTCGCACTATGGTATTATGCAGTACCGACTTTGATAGCACAATTATTGTGCCAGAAGAGCAGCAAGCATGTTGATCTAACTGGTTTTAATAAATTGCACATTGATCTCTAGGCACAGCTAGAAACATATATATTCAAGGGCAAATAAGCAAAATGCTACCAGGATTTCCAAAGCCACTAGTTATAGTAGTGGAGATTCTTAGAGCAAAACACTGAGTTTGTGAAAATATCACCACGCTTCCAGGGTGTATATGGTTGCCAACAGTCAAATCAGCAAAATATAGTTGCTGTTTTAGCAAGGGGCTAGACTTTCCTCACAAATGTAAACATTTGAATTTCATACCGAAGTCTAGCTCTTACTGTTAAACCATACACAATAGTCAGTGCCTGTTGAACTATGCAACTATTTCCATACCTTCTAACAGCTGTAATCTCTGTTTGCCTCCTTCAGCTTCTTCCAAGCTCACGATTCCAGAATGTTCCCTGCTCATAGGGTCAGATACCCTACACCTGCAATCTCTCTCCCACTCTTTCTAAACAGTGAGTGCATATGGGAACCTATTTCCCACTCACTTTTTACCTTTCCCTTCAGTACCCACTATTGGCATAGGGCAGCTTCTTTAAATATACAGAGACACTGCAATTTAAAAACGTGGAGACTAATTTCCCTACTTGTACCATTTGTTTTGCTTTATCTTCACATAGGAAATTCCAATCATGCACTACGAACTCCATAAACAGAGGTACTTTATGCATTCTATGTGTATTTGTCATTATTTGCTAAGTAAAATGAAATAATTTAAAGGCAAACTCATGTCATACAGCTCATAAAAACTATGGATCAAAGCCCAAATAAACTCATTCAGAAACATGCAGTGTCACAGAGTATTACCGATTCTGAGTATTAAGCTAGTGATATGTTAATTCCCAAACTTATTTGAACATAAAACAGTACATATAAGGTCCTAACATAAGCTACTTAAAGATGCTGTAGTTATTTATATAAATATATATATATGCATAATCTATATAAGATGCTAAGACAGCAATTCTCAAAAATCTAAGAGTTCTTTCCACTTTAATGCTATTTTAGGAGACAACAGTATGAAAATTATTAGAAGCCCTTAGACAACTGTATAAAAGAATACATATTTTAAAGCTTATTTAACTGCCAACATTTTTCCTTATTTGCTCCCAGAGATCCACCACTATGTATACAATAAATCTCAAAGGAAGAAGACGACCAGCAGTGCTCCTGAATTCTTTAAATGCTTTACAAAACCTGCTTGCAACAGTATTTTGTTTTTGTCTTTTTTTAATCAACTCACGTCCCAATTTTATCTCCAGCTCCTTCAATGTTTTCTGTAGGTAAAAGGAAGTAATTCTCTAGATGTTTGCTGCCAGAGCAAAATGCACGGTCAAGAAGTTAATCACTTCTTAAGCTCACTATCAAGAGCATGGAGATTTTGAGGCAACATTCGTTTTTCACCTATCATTTATAATCATGTTGCAGGCTGGATCTCCCTGCATACTCTGGTTTGGGGATATTTTCCCTCTTCTGTTTGCATATACTAAGAGAAGGAACACAAACTCTCTTGTGACAACTTCAAATCCCATCTCTACCAGCGCAAACGAATGTGATCATGTAGCTTTCTCCTACCTACTGAAATACTCCAGTTAGATTTCTTCAACTTTTACATGCTGATTTCATTCCTTCTGAAGTCTTTGGAAAAAGCCCA